ATTTTTCTATTCAACTACAAAAGAAATTTAAAATTGATGGTTACATGTTTCTGCACAGTAGGGTATCAATGATGTACATGAATAATTCATGTATATCAATATCAAACACAAAAAAATTTCGTCAACCATTTTATGTAAACACATTACATCGTAAAGATAAAAACAATAAAAAATATCAGAAATGGTTTTGTTGAGATTTTAGTAATTTCAATGGTTGAAACTAGACCGCCATGGAAAATATGGAAGCACTGAACGGCCGTTTCATCCTAGCACTCTCGCGCGAGATCGATAGGTCCTGAGTTCAAATCTCGCGGAGGGTGGGATCGTGGATGCGCAATGTTCAGGAGTCCCACACTAGGACGAAACGGCCGTCCAGTGCTTCCAGGCTTTTCATAGTGATCTAGCTTCAGTGTGTTTCATATTCTGCAACTTTTTGACTGATCACTGGTTATTCGTATCATAGATACATTTTATCATATTGATTGAATTGTCAGGGATAAGATGAATAAATAAAGTTGAATCATAATTATCTCGTTAAATGGTTCTATCTCACATTTCTGTATACATATTGTTTATCATGTTTTCTTCAACCTAGTGACTCCACTGTACATTGTATTTCAGTCCCGTTCCTCATGATAAAAATTAGTTTATATTTTAAGCTATAAACAGTCTTAGTAATATATTTTACTCTTTAAACCGTGTCTGTTCTAAGATAGCAACTCACTGAAGACAACAGTGAATGTGTCGCTCAATTTCGTGGATTAATTGAAGTTATACATTGACACCGTTGGATGTCGGTCAGCTCAGTGGTATAGAGGTTAGGTGTTCGCGCGCGCAACTGATACGTCCTGGATTCGAATCTCCCGAGGTGGGATCCTGGATGCACACTGTTGAGAAGTCTCACAATAGGACGAAACGTCCATCCAGTGCTTCTAGGTTATCTATGATGGTCTAGCTTCAATTGATTCATGATCTCAACTATTAAGATTAATAAAAAGGTTACTACAATCTTCACACCCCCCATCCTAATAATATTTTTCCATTGATGTTTATCAAATATAACTCTTGGTAATAATATATTCACATCATGTAAACTACTTTAGTTAAATTATCTTTATGTGATATTTGTAGAAGAGGAATCTATAAGTCAGTCATCCTATCGTATATAGTTTATTAGAATACATACTAAACATATCTATCAATTGAAATAGTTAAATAATGGGAGTGTTATCTTTGTGTACATCAAAGATTTTTATTCATTCATCAATTCTTTCAGTAGTGATTGAATATGTAATGGCTCAATCTCTTACCTAATTGTATGAAGCTCCACATTTTGTTTATTTTTAGTATTGTGTAATCATGTGTTAGTTTTTTATTTCCTATTACTTGAATTTATGGATCGATGTAAGTTGGATGACCATTGAAAAGCTGTGCTAGGTCCAGATAAGCATAATGCAATGGTAACTTTTGGGATCCATTTCTAGACCAATAATTATACGATAAAAATATACGCATATTATTGGTCTATAAATGGATCCTAAAAGTTACCATCCATTATGATTACCTGGAAGCACTAGGCAGCCGTTTCTTCCAAGTTTTCGTCTAGCTTACATCGATTTATGAATTCAATTATTAAAAAAAATATTACAAACTTCACGAACTCCATTCTGATCATAAATTGTTTTGCTCTCCTGATGTATTTCTATCTTTGGTTTTGTGAAAATCAGATATTTTATTGACACTAATGAATAGTTAGAATGTGGTGTGTGCTACTTATATTGACATAAGTAGTATATGATGTTAGTCGTGAATAGAAGGTCTGGCAGCAGAGAAATAAGAGGATCAAACAGTAAAGAATCGAAACAGAATGCAATTTGTATGCAAATGCAAGAACAATGAAGTCTGAGTCATTTTGAGACAATTGATGGACATTTTACAAATTACGTATTTACTATTTGATTGTTAGATTTTATTAACAAGTGCTGTAATGTTGTGTTAGACACATTTGATTGTCCCAACCCGTGTTCTGTTCACTACAGGAATTAAACATTTAAAAATGAACTAAAAATATATGTTGGCCGGTTTGGATGACTTCATATTTGTCTTAATTGTCAACTGAACTTGAAATAAGGAAGAAGAGAAACAGTGATGTTGATTTTAGATTACTTTCATGATTGAAGACATAGTAATCAAATACATTCATTTGTTCACAGATATCATTTTAGTGGCCCGAGATCTGACTCCAATTTAATAGTATGGATGATTGTTGTTAAAATATATATGTTGTCTATCCTCGTTTATAATCATCGACTTTAATCGCGTTTGTCAATAACGGAATTAAATAAGTCAAATAACGAGAATGAACTTTTGAATACATATATTTTGTATATGAAGCGAATAGAGTAGAGAGAAGAGAAACGACGCGCAGTGGAGATGGCAGGTAAGCCAACTCCATTTATTCAAGCGTTGATCAATCTTTATAGTTACACAAAAATAGGCTACAGATATGCGATGAATAGGATAAGAAGTGTATACACACATATGCCCTCATATAAAAACAGTCAAGATTGATAAGCGAATAATTAACAAGGTCAAAATGTAACTCAACTGGAATGTATAGATTGACCTGTCCCAAAGCCAGAATAAGATATATGAGCTTAATATAATAACAGACACTACATCATGTATAATTAAAAGAGTAGAAACACAAATGGATTTTACATTGAATTCATGTAAGCGAATATTGTATTATATTTCAGAATAAAAATTGAACAGTTTTCCAACGAAATTATGCGTCTAAATTAATAGTTAAAAGAGTTGAATATATTTTGATGGAGGTTTGTTCTCTGAGCTGGATGGTTTGGACGTGGAGCTTTCATCGTTCTTCTGAACGACATCATCAGCACAAACTTCAGGTAGAAGTGAAGTGTCCGAATTTCTCTATATGCGTTTCACAGCTTATTTTGTACACCTCGATGTCGATTGGTTCTTATTGACCTGAACTTTGTCATTGTTTACTTCTTTGTGTTGGTTGTGTTACAACCATCAAAATCATCCACCTGAGCTACAAATCTTCTCCACCATCTCAGTTGAATATATGTTTTCTTCTTGTTTCCGTATCATCAATGGAACATATCTGAAACATTACAGTGATTAATTTTATCTCAAATGTTTAATTACATGTAATTTGACTAATTGATAACGCATAGAATTTCTTTAATAAGTAACAATAATTTCACTGATTTATTCTAATGATCAAGTTTAACAATCTAAAACTATGCACATTCCACATGTACATCAATCTCATGTACTTAATTGGTTATATCATAAACAAGATTGATATAATTTAAGTCATAGATAAAATAATATGAATTGTTTGTTAGGTAAAAGGATGTTGTTGAAAGGTAGCCCTGTTTCGAGATTTAATGCTGGGTAAGATTCACTATCATGATTTGCCTGGAATCCTGAAGAATGTGTGCCGCATTCTAAAATCAAAGATTAATTACAGTAAATTGTTTCCTAAACTGAAATAAACATACAATAACCTTTGATATGACACTCGGGTATTTCAACCACAAGACGATATCTGTAATCTAGATGTCATTGATGCTCCCTGAAGGGAACGAAATTTCATGTAATTACTACTCAGATTGTAAAACTAGGTGACTAGGGTTTGAATTCTTTAAGGAACATGTATTCTCTTAAATTTGCATGCGTGACTAGTTGATGAATGTCAGACATCATAATTTCTTCACATATTACGTAGCATTAAAACATACTGCATATGAAATTGTTTCACTTAGATTAGGGGTCATTTTATAAATTGATTGATAGAATTCGATCAAGACTAAAGAATGAGATAAAAATAACAATGGTAATTACTCGGTAATTGACTGTGATTGTAGATTGTTGTTGATACTAATAATTCTAAAGAAATATGAACTAATATCAGTTGGGTTTTGTGGACATTATAGTAATTTCAATGGTTAAGATCATGAATCAGTTGAAGGTAGATCACCATAGAAAACTTGGAAGCACTGGACGGGCGTTTCGTCCTAGTATGGGACTCCTCAGCAGTGCGCACCCACGACCTCGCCCCGTGGGAGATTCGAACCCAGGACCTACTGGTTTCGCTCGCGAGCACCTAACCACTAGACCACTGAGCAGGCATCCAACGGTGTTAATGTCTAACTTCAACTAATCCACGAAATTGAGCGACACATCCACATCCATTGTTTCCCACAACAGGCCTGACTGAACTCCACTGGCCACTACTTCTCACTAGAACTCCAGGATATACCTCTTGAATGCAGTGCTTCTAGGTTTTCCATGGTGGTCTAGCTTCAACTGACTCATGATACTAACCATTGAAATATGAATTAGTTAAATAAACGAGATACAAGTGTAGTGAACAGAATACCAGTGGGGACAGTCACACGATTTGTTAATAAAATCTAATAATCATAAAGTAAATGCTTAATTTGCAAAATATCCACCAATTGTCTCAAATGATTCAGACTTCATTGTCCTTACATGTTCATGAAAATTGCATTCTGTTTCCATTCTTTACTGTTCGATCCTCTTGTTTCTCTGCTGCCAGACTTTCTGTTCATGACTAACATCATATACTACTCATGTAGCACACACCACACAAGCAAAACAACAAAAGAACAATAATTATTTACAAAAAGTCAAATAAACACAATGATCTATGATTCATTATTAAAATGAACTGTATCCACAATATTAATCATTATGAGACATTCGGATGTAGTAATAAGCTAACAAGACTTTAGTAAATATTACTTTAGTTCATCAGTTTTTTTGACTGAGTAGAATATTTTATTGGCAACAATTGGGGATTCAAAGGACTATTGAAGTTGTTCAGGCAGTTAGATGTATACTATTCTAGGTACTATTTTGTAATTCCTATCAATAATGTTCAATATAAGTATATTCTTTATACATTCTTATATATATATTTTTCTTCTCTTATTCAGATGTACATGATACCTTTGAAGCAAGAAAAGATTCTAGATGATCAACAAGTGGATACTATATTTTTTAAAGTGCAAGAATTACTCATGTATCATATGAGTTTTTTAAATACACTTCAAATGTGGGAATTAACAAATACAGTTGGTGATAAGTTACTTGATATGGTAATGTTGTTTATATTCAAATTACTTGACAAACTGTTTTAATATATAAAACTTAAGGTTGTTAGGCGTCATTGTAGTATCTACCTCTAGGGTTCTAAAGATCAGTAAGTGCTCAATACAAAACATCAGAAATCAATGCGGATCTATTGACTTACATATCATGATTTCAATTATGTTTTGTATTGTTACTGTATAATTTGAATTGTTTTCTAATATTCGGAGAAAAAATTGTAAGCGAGGAAAAATAAACACTACAAATTGAAAGAAAAAGGTAATAGTATTAGCCGATTGAGTGTTTTCTTAACGACTGTTTCATATGTATGTACTTCAATCACTAAATTAGTCGAAGTATGAGTTATAGTGAGAAGAGTCATTATATGAAATAGGGGTCCCCGTAATAACGCAATTTAAGTCAAGTAGTACTAGATGAGTGAAACCGAACGTATTGTATTTGGAATTTAAAATGAGATACACATCAAGTACAAAGGAAACATTAGTTCATACAAACACCACCCTGAAGTCAGCGGTTTTTCAATGAATTTATGAATCTTTTGCAATGTTACGACATGATTAGCATATAATTATATTTCACTGATTGATATCATGAGTCAATTGAAGCTAGACCACCATGGAAAACCTGGAAGCACTGGATGGCCGTTTCCTTCTAATACGGGTCTCCTTAGCAGTGGGCATCCAATATCCGACTCGCGAGATTCGAACCCAGGACCTACCAGTATCGCGCGCGACCGCTTTACCTCTAGACCACTGAGCTGGCCGGCACCCAACAGCATTAATATCTAACTTCAACCAATCCACAAAGTTGCGCCACCGTACACCATTGTCTTCAGTGAGTTGATATCTCACAACAGAAATGGTTGGACTACACTGGTAACGGCTTCTCACTAGAACTCCAGGAGTATCTCTTGATAGGTCCTAGGTTCGAATCTCGCGGGGTGGGATGGTGGATAAGCACTACTGAGGAGTACCATACTAGGACAGAACGGTCATTCAGTGCTTTCAGATTTTCCATGATGATCTAACTTCAATTGACTCATGAACGTAAGTATTAAATTACTATACTAGTCACAAAACCCCTTTCTGATAACCTATAATTATTATAGAAGTAATTTGCTAAACAATAAATCACTATTTATAGTAAGTAAATGTAAACAAATGCGCTTTTTTTTATCAAAGTTATCTTCAATGTGATAGGACATTGAAATCAAAAAAATAAACAATAATGGAAATAAACAAACTTAAGAAACTATTTTTTAATAAGTATTATTCTTATCAGAAGGGGGTTTTATGGAGATTTTAGTAATTTTATAGTTGAATTCATGGGTCAATTGAAGCTAGACCACCATGGAATCGGTTGAAGTTAGACATTAACACCGTTTTATGCTGGTTCAGTAGTCTAGAGGTTGAGCGTTCGCTCAATAGACTAATAGATCATGGGTTTGAATCTCGCGAAGCGGGATCGTAGATGCACACTACTGAAGAGTCGTATACTAGGACGAAATGGCCGTCCCGTGCTTTCAGGTTTTTCCTAGTAGCCTAGCTTCAATTGACTCATGAATTCAATTATGAAAATATTTTTCTTTAAATACTGAAAACATTCTCTCTTATTTTTCTTTTGTATTTCCTCATTTCTACTTCCAGTTTTCACGTGAAGCAGTTGCAATGTGCTATTGTACATTTGTAGATAATTTTTCCAATTCTGAACGAACTCTAGAAACATGCTGGAATACAAAATCATCATTTCAGAAATTCTGTGAAGTAAGCTTATATTTGGATTATTTAATTGCACTATTACTATTAAGAATTGAGTTGCTTTAGAAAATGATAACGATGTAGTGTAGGAAAGTTATTTCAGTCAGTTACCTAAATTGTTACCCAAAGTTAAACAAAAGTTAGATGTAAAACTCTTTAGGAAGTACTATGTCAACTGGATAACATAGTTCTGTAACAATATAAGACAAGAGATTTAATAGAAAGGAAATGAAACCTTATCATATGATATATATATGGGTAGTTTGACTATAATTCAAGTAAACTAGTGTCAAACAGTAAGGTGAAGCATATCTTTGATGTGATTTTGAATCAGTTAACAATATATGTATATAATACTCTTTTACTGGGTATCTATCATGTGAAATATTATTGTATAAGAAAACGACATCATAGCTCTCCACTATTTTGTTTTTGATGCAAAATTTGGATATAAGTTAGATCACCATTGAAAATCTGAAAGTATTAGATCCTAGTGTGGAATAATTCCACATCGAGCATTCAAGATCATGAACCCAAGACCTTTGGTTTTATGCGAGTATACTTAGCCTCTAGACCAATGAGCTAGCATAGAACAGTGTTAATATCTAGCCTCATTCAATGAAATAAGATTTATCACTCTGAAAAAATTTAGAACTATTTATTTTAAGGTCATATGGATACCTTTATATACATTATTCTTGTATATTCATACTTTTAATTCTAATTAATATATATCTGAACTTAATTAATAATTCTTGGAGGATAATCATACTCTATCAAACAAATGTGTTTTATCAGAATGAGTTTTGTGGAGATTTTAGAAATTTCATTGGTTGAAATCATGAGTTGATTGAAGCTAGACCACCATGGAAAAACTGGGAGCACTGGATGGCCGTTTCGTCCTAGTATGGGACTTCTCGGCAGTGCGCATTCACGATCCCGCCTCCCGCGAGATTTGAGCCCAGGACCTATCAGTCTCACTCCAGGAGCTTAACCAACTAGACTTAGGCATCAGTTAAATGATACAATCCATTAAACGATGCTTACATTCAACTTTGCTTGCATTTATAGAAATTTTACATTAATAGAAATACAGTATGTATGAATTAAGTCCCTTAATCCCCTGATTAGTGGTATATATGTTACGCACTCTTTTTAAGTTAAAACATTTAACGGCTCATTATTCGATAGTAATAAGTAGTCTCATACTAGAATGGAAATATCTATATAGCGATTCCTAGTTTTCACTGATAGTCGAATTAAGGTAAATTCATGGTGTCAACCATAAAATATCTTACATAACTATTGTTTTTAAAGGATTTTAACGAAATAAATATCTCAGTCTGTTAGCTGCATTATATGCTCCTGTATGTAGTATCTATCCATCAGTCTTAAATTAAACATATTATACAAGTTAAATGATGTACTGTTTATTCGAGTTTTATCAAGCAATTTATTTTGATAATTACTTATCTATGCAGTTGGGGATGTTAGATCCCCAGAGCTCACTTGGGAAAGGACCTACTTTTGTAATTTTGTTTAAGAAATTTGAATTTCTTTGTTTTTGCGCCAAAGGCGCTCTTGTCACCTTCATGTCATATTTCCCACTGGGAAATATCTTAAATTCTATTGGTCCGTTGTGTCTTTAGTATGCTATTTGGTAACTCTCCCTAAGGACGGTTTCGCACTGTATATATACGTTTTGAATTGTGCTTGTTGCTATCGCCCGTTTCTGGCTGTTTTGCAGAATATACTTCCCATTCCAAGCTTGAACTTCACCCTCTAGTTAGCGGAACTGGGACGCATCGAATAGCTAGCTTACTGGTCTTTGGTATTGTTCTCGTTCGCAGAGTGAGTGAACTCATGATAGCTTCAAACCTAGCATATGCATCTTGAAAAACTCAACTTAGCTGTGCTTAATCAATTTTAATTGCAGTGAACGAGAACACAACTAGAAACAATCAAGTGTATTTGAACGCACAAATTACAGAATCTCTTAGTAAAATCTTGACCAAAATAACTGTGAATCACTCAGTGGTGTCTATTTTCTATCCGTTTGGAGCCCCTCTGGGGCTACTATCGGCACAAAGCCTGAAAAAAGGGGAAGGGTTAGGCATGGGGTGAGCCACCCCATCACGTAGAAAACTAACTCGCTATAAAAACGCTAACCATTTATTTTCTTACTGCATTATATTTCCTCAGTTAGGGGAAAACTACTTTTTTTAATCCTGAGAATATAATTTTCCCAAAGATAACAACTTTATGGGTTTTAATCCACGTCCAGACATCTTATATATATGTATATTTGTAAATTCCATAGGTGATTTGTGTGGGAAAAACTAGAAATAGTTTAGTTAAATGTGACACGTGTAATCTTTGTTCAAACAATCTCTTCTATACCTGTAATATTCAGTTTACCAAATATTTCTTACATTATATGACACCATATTCACTGTTCCACTATTTGTGTTGTTGTTTATACTGGCAATGGTAAATTAGTTAGAGATGTTCAGCCAAAACAAAAAAAAACTAATTTATGGGAGTTCGTAACTTTACGTTATACAAAATCAGCCTGTTTTTGAATAGATGTATTTTAAGCGGATCATTTGATTACAAGATTTAGAAATTGTTTAGACTCAATAGTTAAGTAAATAACACTTTGTGTGCTGAAAGTGATAGATCCTCGATTCAAGTGACAGTGTAAACATCTACACTAAATCTGGAAGAGTTGTACTAAGCTGGAAGAAACGTGTGTACTGAAGTACTAGCTGCTATCTAAGATTACTGGAAAAATCCTACTTTTGGAGTCATTTCTAATAACTCAGTTGGCAAAGAAGAATTATTAACTTGTAGTTTAACCAAAATGTACGTTCAATACTGACCTTTCGTTTCGTTTAAACTCCATAAATTATGCTTAAAAAAGCATTATTTCAAATGCTTTTAACAAAGGACTCGAACTGTTTGGAAGATGAGTATTTTTGTTTATTAGCACTTGATAAACAGTAAACATTGCGCCAATGTAGATTAAATCTCTCCTATCATACATATTATAGATTGTTGATCAGTTACACAAGCTGATTGAAGAGATGGTAAATCCTTGTAAGATAACCTCAACTTACATTGGATTATAAAAGAACTGATCTATTTATAGCTACTTCCATTAATATATTTGATAAGATAATTGTTTCGGTCGTGATGTTCACATAAACTTTAAGCCAAACATTTTGAACCAATATTCACTTACTCATTCATTGTCTTTAAACAAAACTATAAATGTTAACATTTCCTACCAATTTCGTATATTATAAAATAAGATATTCTTGGATGCACATTGCTGAGGAGACCCACAGTAGGACAAAACGGCCATCCAGTGCTTCCAAGTTTTCCATGATGATCTAGCATCAAATTGACTCATGATCTCAACTATTAAAATAAATTTCGTGAAACCTCAGATAAAAAGTTCACCATTATACTTTTATGAAATGTCTAACTTAAGATGGACAAATGGTTATTATATATGATAGTAGATAATGTCTGATTACAGAGAAGGAAGACCAACAGGCTGAATTGAAAGGAACATCGTCTACACTTTGGGCTAACAATTACCTCAAAGAAAATTATTAGAAATGATAAAGAAAAACTAAATTAGAGTGTATACGAAAGAATGGAAGATTACTGTGGTCATCTCATACCGTAAACACACATCAGCAGAAATTAGGAGGGTTCTAAACAAATATAATGTGAGTTTATTTTCGGGCTAGTGACACCATTAGATTAGCATCATCGAAAGTTGAAGATAAGTCTCCTGAAAAAGTACAACAGAATACTGTCTTTGAAATCAACTGTCAGGGTTGTGATACAGCGTACGTCGGAGAAACTTCAAGATAATTGAATATGAGGTTGAAGGAATATAAACAATGTTTAAAAAGTGTTCCTTAATCCGCGGTTTGATCTGAAGAAACTTGAGAATAGGTTGTTAATACCGTTACATGAGTTAGAAATGGGGCACAAGATCGTTTTCGGAGGGTCCAAAATACTTCAGAAAATATTTAGCATATATAAAGGAAGATTGGTGGCAGAAGCGCCTGTATACATGGGCTAATAAGAACAGCCTAAACAGATGGTAGACGGTATTCAACTAGCTACCAAATGGCAAATGTTCATTGACAAATAATTGAACTTATCTATTTATTACGCATGATTCGTTATTCTGACAAAAATTAATTTATAATATTTAAGGAATACAGTTATATATTTCATGGTTCTCATTTTTACATGTACACCGATAGTTCAGAAGCAATTTTTCAACCTTCAACTTGCACTTTTATTTTTTCCTTCATTCAATACCTAATATCACCTATTCATTATTCAATCTTATACATACATGTACACACACACACAATTTGTTCAGTCATTTATTTCCACATCGTGTGGATTTTATTTACCAAAGTCAGCATCTAAATATGACTGGATTATCACAGTACAGACCTAATTTGATGGTTAAACGTTATATATTTCTTTCATGATCTTGGTTTTAATTAGTACCCTGAAGAAGTCTAGACAAGTTTGCGGGACGAAACACTGGAATTATTTTAAATTTCAGTCGCTAAGATTATTTCAAATAGAATTTTCACAAATAATATAGTTAACAGACTCAGATATTTGATTAATTATTGCGTTAAAGTATTTAGAAACAATAGTTATGTCAGACATTTTATGGTTGATATCATGAATTCAGCTTAATTCGACTATTAGTGAAAACTGGGAATTGTTGTATAGATATTTCGTTTTATTATAGGACTACTTATTAATGTCAACTAATAAGCCATCAAATGTTCTAACTTAGAAAGAGTGCATTATTGAAATTTACCAAAGGTAGTTATTGGCTTTAAACAAATATCATATTCTCCCGATTGATAGATGGTGTTTTTGTATACTGACTCTTTCTACACTCCAATCTGATAACATGCATCAAGAAGTAAATATTGTATATTCATTTTTATGTGACAGGGCAAGAAAATCAAGACGCATTGAGAATGAGTATGAAGGTACAAGTTTATCTATATGCGATTATATTGTTAATGTGATTTTTCTACACGACAGTTCAATGAATACATTTTAGTGTATAAATTCATTTCTTATCATCCTCATTACTAAAAATCAGAATTATTTTTACATTTTTAAATATTAGATGAAGTTACGGATGAATCGTAATAAACTTCCATTGAAAGCGCTTCTTGTACAACCTGTTCAACGGATACCCCGATATGAGTTACTTATTAAGGTAAGTTTATATTTATACTAGTCACCTAACACTAAACATAAATCAATATTTAAAAATATCCCTGGAAACAATAAATTAATAATTTTAAAAGCATAATAATAATGAGTCAATTGAAGCTAGACCACCACGGAAAATCTGGAAGCACTGGATGGCCGTTCCGTCCTAGTATAGGACCCCAACCAGTGCGCATCCACGATCCCGCACTCCACGGGATTCGTCCCCAAGACCTATCAATCTCGTGCCAGGCACTTAACCAACCAGATCACTGAGCCGGTATCCAACAGTGTTAATATCTAACTTCAAACAATCCACAAAGTTGCGCTACCGTACACCATTGTCTTCGGTGAGTTAATATCTCAAAACAGACCTGGTTGAACTCCACTGGTAACGGCTTCTCACTAGAACTCCAGGAGTATCTCTTGAAGTCAGTCACTAGTGAGCATATGTTGATTAGTATCAGAAGGGTTCGAATCTCGCGGGGTGCGGGATCGTGAATGCGCACTACTGAGGAGTCCCATACTAGGACGAAACGGCCGTCCAGTGCTTCCAGGTTTTCCATGGTGGTCTAGCTTCAATTGATTCATGATTTCAATCTGTGAAAGTTCTAAAATCTCCACAAACCCCTTCTGAGCATAATAATAAACCAAATACCTAGTTCATATAGTCACTTTATGAAAGTACCATGATTTAATATCGAGTTACTAACCAATTAATTACTACCAAGTTTGTTTAAATACAGCGAATATAAGGTACACAGTTATTAAGATCCCAATAGTAAGCGAAACATCATTTGAAGAGTGAGAAAACTATTTTTATGTCATCAGCCTAAGGGTTTGATATGCAGCCTAGTTTTTATAAATTAGATATTTTACATCTATGACTATGCTGTAAAACATGCATACGGCTATCAGCTTTTTAATAAGCACAAGTAATCATAAAATTTTTACACAATCATATCAGCTCGATTTGTATAACACCACCGTAAGTGATTCATGAAATCATAAGGACATGCAATAGTACATACTAAAACTAAAGTGAAGCACGTAATGATATGAAGATAACAAAGCGATATTAGTTAACTAACCCCTGGAAGCCTAGAAATACTGGACAGCCCTTCTATGTTAGAGTCAGACTCCTCAGTTTCTAGTAATAATGACCCTACCGGCGATCAAACCATAGACCTCTTGACTGTTGAGTCAGCATTTTAATGATGTCCGTCAGTTTGACACGGTTGAACATCGCTCGTCATGTGTTCTTATTGAAACTGAATTTGGCAACTAACAAAGAAACAACTTGTTCATAATTCAAGAAAGGGAAGATTAAAATATATGTGTAAATAATGACCGGATATGCGTAAAGAACACTCAGTGCTGCTTTTTCTTTTCCGATCCGCGTCTTCACATTTGCATCAGATCAACCGTGTTCATCAATGATGCTGCCCAGATATGTAAAGGTTTTTACATCTCCCAAATCTTCTCCGTCAAGTGCGATTCGATTGGTACATGCTGTGTTGTATAGGAGGATATTTTTTTTCCGTCTGCGTATGTTGAGACCTACTGCTGCTGAGGCTGCTGCTACAATGGTCGTCTTCTCCTGCATTTGTTGTTGCGTTTACAATAGAAGAGCAATAGGAGGGCCAGATCCTCTGCGAAGTCTAAATCGTCCAGCTGCACCCTAGCTGTCCACTGTATCCCGTGCTTCTTCCCAGATGTTGACGTCTTCATGATCCAGTCGGTCACTAGGAGAAAGAGAAAGGATGAGAGTAAGCAACCTTGCTTAACACCGGTCTCTAACTCGAATGAGTCTGTGACTTGTCCTCCATGCACAAAGTTGCAGTTTAATCCATCGTAGGAATTCCGTATGATATTGACTATCTTCTTAGGTACCCCGTAGTTTCAAAGAACTTTCCATAGTGTTGTCCTGTTATCATTGTTACAGGTCAACACTGAAGATGTATATAGGGAAGATTCGACGTTTTGCATTATATACTTACAAGATTAATGAAATACTCTTTTTGAATAAGCCACTAGGACTTGAGACGAACAGTTCCAGCTACTTTTGAACAGTATATAAATCGATAAGAATACAAAAACTCTTTATGAATAAACTTGACAGTATCTTGGTTATTTCATGTATATTCTTGTAGAACTATGGTCTATTTGGTTATTAGTACTGCTCTACACTAACATTGTATCATAACAATTACCAATATATGATGGAGAACGCATTCAGGCTGGAGTTAGAACGGTATATATATATATATATATATATATATATATATATATATATATATATATGGGACGGATAGGTCCTGGGTTTGAACCGCGAGAGGCATGGTCATGGATGCGCAATGCTGAGGAATCCCATGGTGGTCTAGCTTCAATTGACTCATGCTATCAACTATTGAAATTACTACAATCTCCACAAAGTCCCCTTGTGGTAAAAGCAAATTATGCAGAACAATCACGCCTGTAAGGCTGAACTATGCCATATAATTCGATATAAATGGATTCATTCTTCCTGCCTTTTGCATCGTTGCATTTTCCTCTGCGTTAAATGTTGAATATCTGCTTTCCCATTTGTCTTTTACTCAGCTTTGAGGATTGTTTGATTAGGGCTCAATGCTATAATATAATGAAAAAATTTCAGAAGCTGATTCATATATTTTCGTAATCTCAGTTGTTACCATGGTGCCAAATTAGTGTTTTTGGATAATAGTAGTATATTTATGAAGCTTTAATTGTTTTTGTTTTGTTTTTCTTCTAAATAACCATGTCAATATAAACTATCTGATGTAACTAAAGTGTTAAAAGTGTTATTACAATTACATAACAACTTTTCCATTTATTATTGTTGTTAACATTTGTCTTATCACTAACAGAAAATTAATTATGATTGTCTTCTCTTTTCATTTAGTTCCGTTAGTTTATCATAATTTGTATTCTATTTATAAATTGTTTCTATATATCTGTTTAATTACTGGTTAATGTAAATGTCAAACGTTTAGAATGTTTCTGGTTTTCTAAGGTTATTTATGTATTTCATTTAACAATCAACGTGAATAGCGTCAATAATCTGTTTCGAAATGTTTTTCATAATTTGTTTGATTGTTTCTGTATTTTATGTAGTTTTTTTTTTCTTAATGGACTAGTATTTTTGATGGAAATTACATGAATAACTGTATTTTTGAGAAGGAGTTATAAGATTACTTACTTATGTACTTATGCCTGTTATTCCTCGTGAATGAGCATAGACCGACCATCAGCACACTTCATTCAACCCTATCCTTGGCAAACCTTCCCATCTCTTTCCAGTTGTAATTCATTCTTTTTATATCTGATTCTATTTCCCAACGTAATGTTTTCTTTGGCCTTCCACTTTTCCGCTTCCCTTCAAGATTCCAAGTTAGGGCTTGACTCGTGATGCAGTTTGATGATTTGCGTAGTATATGTCCTATCCATTTCCATCATCTTTCCTAACATTTCCTCTTCATCTGGAAGCTGGTTTGTTCTCTTCCACAGAATGGTGGTATCCGACCAATGGATATTGAGTATCTTGCGTAACAGCTATTTATAAATACTTGTATCGTCTTGACGATGGATGTAGTAGTTCTCCAAGTTTCAGCTACCTACAATAGAACTGACTGTCTTGACGTTCGTATTGAAGATTGTGACTTTGATATTAGTTGACAGACAGTTGTTTTGATTTCCATGTGTTCTTTAACTGTAAGGAGTCATAAGATACTACTCTTCATTTCTCTATTTGAAATATGCACGCTACTAAATCTTTGCTCTTTTGAACAATGTTTGTAATCAGTTGTTTCGTGAGTTATCAGCTTGTTATTATTACAGTTAAGAAAATGATCTAGATGAAGTAACTCCCGATTATCCTGTATTCATTACAAACTGATTCCTATCCCAATAAGGATTTTATATCAATTTTTTGCATTTATATTCAACCATAAGTACTGTTTGACTATTCTATTTTGACAATAATGAGTATTTTGTCCAAATATGGGTTCAAACATTTGCAATGATATCTATATAATGAACTGAATCTTAATGATTTCGTAAGTATTTCTATCACTATTGAATCAACAATATGTAGTGTTCATCATAGATTGATGATTTCTAATAAACCCTAAAGCTTTTACCCATTAAAAGACAGGAAACTAACCACCATTTCAATCACTTCTATCTATCTAAATCATTGTCTTTCAAACGAGTTTTTTCATTCTAGTTAGTTTTTATACATCAATAAATACTATTCTTGTAATCAAATATCTATATTTCTTTACATAATTTATTATATAGCGTTTATTAGAATCAACTCCTAAAGACTATTCAGATCATGCATTACTTGTTGAAGCAGAAAGTGCTATACATCGATTGGCTTTAAGAGTGAATGCTGTACATGCTGCTGGTGAAGATGAAAATATTGTAGATGGTATACGATTAATTGAAAAACTTTTAGCACCTGCTGTAAGTAAAATTAAAACTTCCATTTTTTTGTTTGACTTTAATTTTATGTACATAATTGACTGATATTACGAATGGATCAATGTTAGACCTGGACGGTCAGTTAGTCCTAGTATGGGACTCCTCAACAGTACGTATCCACGATCCCACAAGTAGGATTTGAACCGAAGAAAATAGCTCTTGAGCGTAAACGCTTTACCTCTAGACTAATAAGCCAACATCCAACGGTGTTAATGTCTACCTTCAACTAATCGACACCATCCAATGCTTTCATATTTTCAATAGTGGTCTAACATTGATCGATTCATGATCTCAATCAAAAATACACAATCTTCATAACACCATACTGATGTCTGCTGATAGTTTGAATCTTATTACCTTGTTCCTCTTAAAGATTAAACATCAGATCATAACAAATGTGTTCAGTATGTTCACAAGAGTTTTGATGTAGAGATTTATTTTGTATTCTGATGAAGATTTTAGTTCAACCACATAAACTGTTATTATTCAAAATATGAGAGTTAATGTCAACTCTTTTGCAAAACTAAAATGATACAGACGGTATGAATGTTGCATAGACAAAAACGTAATAATCTCCACATCCTCATACTGAAAATATTGTAGAAATATGTTTTTACTGGCTACACTAAGAAATGACAATTTTCAAGTATTTCAACCTACTGTTTAATTACTTTCTTCATATTTAAATTTTTCAGACTTTAACACCAACACGTCAATATGTTCGACATGATATTGTTTCAGTTGAAGTAAGTTTCAGTACAGTGGGAAAGATTTGTACCTCAGGTGGATGATTTTTCATTTTGATGAAGTTTTCTTCTCTGAGCTGGATGGTTTGGTTGTAAAGCTTCCATCGTTCTTCTGAACGATATGATCAGCACAAACTTCTATCTGACTTCCACCTAAAGTTTGTGCTGATGACGTCGTTCAGAAGAACAATAAAAGCTCCACTAAAACAAACCATCCAGTTCAGAGAACAAAACTTCGTCAAAAAAGTTTAAGTATACTTATCGATTATTGTGAGAAAACAATTTTGTTGTCAAGCACTATTAAACTGGATAATTCAAATATTGTCTATATTTTACTAACATTCATTTCTTAGTACTAACAATGAGTTTACTTTGAGCTTTGTTTGTTTGTGTGAGTATTTTCCTTTATTCATAAATGTGATGCATGCCATTTATCTTTGAGATGTATATTTGGGGATGAATGAATGATATAATAGTCTAGCTTAAGTAATAAGTTGAAAGATCAAACTTTATTATTATTATCAGTGGCTTTATTCGATATTATATTTTTGGTACCGTGTAGAATTCGCAGCAAAAAGTACATCAGTAGTTGAAATCATGAGTCATTTGAAGCTAAACCACTATGGAAAACCTGGAAGTATTGGACGGCCGCAATTTCGTGAGTTGGTTGAGGTTAAACATTGCTGAAAAAGGGACCCGTGGTCTAATGGTTGAGCGTTCGTGCACAAGACTGAAGGCCCTGGATTTGAATTTTGCGGGGTGGCGGAGTTGTGGATGCGCACTGCTGAGGAGTCTCATACTAGAACGGAACGGCCGTCCAGTGCTTCCAGGTTTTCCATCATGGTCTAGCTTCAATTTTTCATGATTTCAACTATTAAAATTATTAAAATCCCCACAAAACCCTTTCTGATAAAGAGTATTTCAACAAGTTTCCTTTGCTTATTTCTTGATCTGCCGTTGCGATAAATCTTGAGTAGTCACCAGTTAGATGTTAGCATTTCAGCAATCGACGTCTAAGTCATGTGTATTCTTTTCGATGTATATCGTCAGCAACCACGTTGTCTCTGATTAGGCCCTTTTATAACTTGTACTATGAAATATCGTAAACCTTTCATAAACGCACCTGAATAGCTTAAGTGACTAATAGGCATAATGATATGTTAAAATAAACAAGAAACCAGACAACTTGTTGAAATATCTAGATGGCAGGAACAGGTAGCCCAGGTATTCAAGCAGGCCGTCTTGAATAATATAGACTATATATATGTAAGAATTTCTTATGCATAGAGATGTTTGAATAGTTTACAGACTAATAGAATACTTTAAATACTATCGAATTCAGTTTAATTGATCTCAGGGGTAAGCCGAATCATTAAACATGCTTTGTAATCTCGTTAGTTCCTAGAGAAATGTTTAAACATTTTGAGTACCTTATGTATAGTTTTAATCGGAAAACACATAGATTCCACTTAAACTTAGGTAATATTTTCCTACTAATTCAACTAACTGACAAAGACTATTTGTATGTTAATTAAGTCAGTCAAGTATAAAAGATAATCCCAAGGATTAGTACAACAACCTTTTGCCGAACACGTTTAAAAAACTCCGTATAAAACCACTTAAAACATTCTATGAGAATCTAGACATTCAGAATGAGCACACGAGTAGTCTATAGTTGATCGCACGTTAAACTTCTCTAATAGATGTTTCATAAACAGATTAAATTACTAAATGCAAGGATATTAATTAAGTAATCTTCATTTCTTTCTATAATCTAGGAACGAAAAGATCCTGTATGTATATTTATGTTCACAGATCAAATTGTTTTCACAGTTGCAAGACGCAGAGGAAGTCAAGTGATCAAGAAACCGATATTTCTTCGTTTGTAGGTTACATTTTATTTTATATTGTTTCATTACTATTTTAATGTTCTGGAAATAAAATTGTATTCAGTATAATTAAGTTACTATCTCACATTACTTTAATGTAAATCAGTGTATAATAAGTTCTCATCAAATCAATCTACATTATATACAAATAAATTTCTCACAGTTATAGCATGATTTAAGGTTAATGGGTCGATTCCTCGATGAGGCAATGAATGTCCACTTCTTAAAAGTCTAACGGTAGGATGAAATAGCTATTCAGAACTTCCGGTTCTCATCGTTTTTTTTAACCAAGTTCAACGTTAAATACAAGCCATAATTAAATTTGATAAACTGATGAATATGAAAACGAATCCAGAAACACTTACTTTCTAAAACTGGTTACTTATAACTTCCATATTGTTATTAATATTCTAAGACCATAAACCTATGTATGGGCTTATTTTTGACTATATATTTTTCTCAAAGTCAAATTTTCATTTGCTCATTACGTACTGTTGAAAAATACATTTTGACAGATAAAATAATACTTAACTTTACTTGGTATTGTTTACTTGTATCTTCCCAATATTGTTTAGGACTGCAGTTTATCAGTCTCCTAATGGTATATGTGCATAATGTGTGTATTGCCTCGATATTGACTTAATTCACAAGTATTATAAGTAAAGATGGAAGGTGGCTAACAGTGGAATTCAGGATGCGCGTTTCGTCTTATTCAAACACCATCACGTTATCTTCTAAGTTACTAAGTCCTGATAGCCATCTTCTTGTGCAGTAGGGCAAAGGTTAAATTCACTGACGAGTCCCAAATAGGATGAAAGGCGCGTAGTGGATTCCATCGCTAGCTACCATCCATCTTTACTTATACTACTTAACTGTCCCAATTGTGTTAAAAGGTTAGGCACAATAGGTAATTCATGAACTTCAACTATTCGTTTCAAATGTAAGTCCTAAAATTTTATTTTATGAACTTATATGAATTAAACAATTGCTACTGAAACCAGTTCATGATATAAACCATTAAATTTAGCATTCTACACAATACAATATAAGTGCTGTTTTGAATCTAATACATTTCGTTTCGAACGACAAACATTTTGTACACTGACGTGCTCATTTCGAATAGCCACTGACATGTTCAGCATATTTGATTGTTGTTTCATTATCAAAAAAAGAGTTTCAGTTGTTGCACAATTGATGGCCAATATCAAGGCAAATATGGTAGGATTTCCATATCCATAAAAAATTAATTCAAGTACACTCTCTAATATTGACAACAAAAGGAGTTAAATCCCTGAAAATAATCATAATATTTTGAGAAATACAATGAAAAGTAACAATATAATTCTAATGATATTATCAGTATGGGATTGTGGAAATTGTTATGCTTTTTAATTGAGACCACCATTGAAAACCTGGAAGCACTGGACGGCTGCTTCGTCCTAGTAAGGAACTCTTCATCAGTGCGCATCCACGATCCCGCTTACGGGATTCAAACCTAAGACCTTCACTCTCGCTTTCGAAGACCGTTGAGCCATTATCCAACAGTTATAACGTCTAACTTCAACCAACAAGAAATTACATAGATGATTCAGAAGATTTGTAGCTCAGGTGGATGATTTTTATGGATTTTAGTTCTCTGAGCTGGATGGTTTGCTCGTGGAGCTTTCATCATTCTTCTGAACCACATCATCAGCACAAACTTCAAATAGAAGTCTTCTATGAAAGCTTCACGAAAACAAACCATCCAGCTCAGAGAACAAAAATTCATCAAAAAGACATTACATAACTTGACTAATCACATAAAATTGAATTAGTCCAAACATTTAACATATTTTTTTTCCTAAAATACACTTACTGATACCTTTTTTGATAAAGAGCAGTATCAATGAAACTCTACACTAATTCTTTTCATTTATGATTTTCTTTTTAAATGATAGGCAGTCCATTCGTGGAGTTGATGCCATTGAAAATATTAAATATAAAATTTATCATCGATTAGGCATTGAAGCTATAGAACTGGAATCACGTGAGTTGATATACATTTAACCGAACTATATTATGATTATCTTAATGTAAATGTTTATTAGATCATTCAATACATCATATGATATAGTGACTTGATTTATGACCAACAATGTAATCATAAACACTTGTTTTATCTTCTTTCATAGTGTTCATTTTCGGTTTGCTTGCATTTTAGTATTGATTATTATTCGGATTGAAATTCCAATCTAGAACATTTAGTTCAAATGATAACGTATTATTCTATGATAAACTGAGTTTAAACAGCTTGTCAGCTATTTGAAGGGTATGAAAATGTTTGTAAGTGTCTTCTAACTGTTGTCAAACTATTAACACAATGTAAGAATCTTTTTTTTTTCGAGAAAAAGAACATAACTTCAAAAAGTACTATAAAAAGGTGATATTTTAAATAGTCTCTACCCCCCCCCCACACACTTCAAACTTATCTAGTTAAACGAATTTCTTAGGAGTTTATCTCTTCTATACTTTAAATCTTAGAAAATTATGGAGTATTTTCAATGACCAGATGAAGTACACTTACACTACTAATGATAATGATAATAATTTTGTAGTTGCTTATTTACTATATCAAACTACATCATAAATGCGAATTTGTGCACCTTTTAATATACATAAAGGAATAAATTACCGCAGGGTAAAGTGTTGACAGGTAGTGTTTAGTTCTTGAAAATAATACATTTTATATACACTTTATCAATGATAAAGATGTCTTTGATAAAATCTAATAAGTACATATGTAAATAAGTTATTTGATTTGGTACCAATCAAGCTAAATTTAAACAGATTAGAGTTATAAAATTAGGTAATCAATCAATGCACAATTCGTTCCATTGTTTCAGTAAACAATCTTAGGTTTTGTTCAGTATAGGGTTGTAGAGATTATTAAATTTTTCATTGAAATCACGAATCGATTGATGTTAGGTCACCATTGAAAACCTGGAAGCACTGAATGGCCGTTTCGTCCTATTGTGGGACTTCTCAGCAATGCGCATCCGCGATCCAATCCAGGGCTTTCAGTCTTGGGCGCGAACGTTTGACCTCTAGATCGCTGAGTCGGCATCCAACGATGTTAATGTCGAACCTCGACTAAATCGTGTTTCGCACTGATGAGAAGTCCTAAAATAGGACGAAACTACCGTCCAGTGCTCCCAGGTTTTCAATGGTGGTCTAACACCAATTGGATCATTATCTCAAACAAAGGCTTCGGTTTTATTGATTTATTTATCCTCTCACTAAACCACTTGTATCATGTGGTATTACGTCAGAAACCGTGATTTCTACTTGTTGGATTATTACAAAAATAACTTTATCTTATTACTGAGATTTCAATTACTTTGATGTTTTATCAATCAATCAATAGATCCATCTGACTATTCCTTAATATAAACACAGTTTAGATTAATATTTACTTTCCTCAATTAATCTTTGTTTGTTTATTATTAAGTAACTAGTGTACAAAAGAAAATAATCCATAATGTGAATAAGTTGAAGTCACTTTACATCATTTCATGATGTTAATTATCCAATTTTGTATCGTACTTAATAAACTGAAAAACGGAATGAGGATTTGTAGATATTGTAGTAGTTTGGAAAGTTAAATTCATGAGTCGATTTAAGCTAGACTACCATTGAAAACCTGGAAGCATTCGATGGCCTTTTAATTTTATTATAGAACCCTTCATCAAAGTGTATTCAGGACCCCGTATGCGGTACTCGAACCCAGTTCCTTCGGCCCCGAGCGCGCAAACGCTTAACGTTCAGACCAATGAGGTGTCATCCACCGGTATTACTGTCTAACTTCAGTCGATTCACGATTTTACGCAACCTTTCATCTATTGTCTGAAGTGGATAACGGTCTAGCTTAGAGTGTCTTATGAATTCAACTATCAAAAAAACTGAAAATCTACCACATATATGATTAATAAATAAAACAAACTAGATCTAATAACACTCGTCCAATATGAAAATGAGTTGTTTAAATAATCTAAAGCAAAACTACCATACACTAAGGGAGAAATAAAAATTACAACTTGAGGGTATTAGTAATTTACGCTAAATATTATGTGATTAAGTTAAAAATGTGAATGGGAAAAAACCCATTATTGTCTTTCAATGGTGAATTCGATTAGTACTTAATAGAAAAAACAAATCGAATGGATTCTTGGAGTTCTAGTGAGAAGCCGTGACCAGTGCAGCTAATCCGTGTCGGGTAGAGACAAGTATCTATCTCAATACAATGGAAGATGGTTGCGTAATTTCGTGGATTGGTTGAGGTTAGACATTAACACCGTTAGATAACGGCTCAGTGGTCTAGAGGTTAAGCATTCAATCACGAGACTGAGGGTCCTGAGTTCGAATCCTGCGAGTGGGTTCGTGGATGCGCATTGCTGAGGAGTTCCACAGTAGGACGAAACGGCCATCCAGTGCATACAAGTTTTCAGTTGTGGTCTGACATCAATCAGTTCATGTTTTCAATCAGAATTACTGTTGACTTGATTTTATGAATTATTTATTATGCACCAGATACAATGCTGTTTTACGATTTATCTTAGTATGATCCAACTATGGGAAATGTAATCATTTTAGATCATGAAACTGGAGATAAACATTCTAATCGTCTCAAAATCTCTATCATATTAAAAGATTGATATATGAACGAAAAATATTCTTTTCGATAAAGTCTCTTCAGGTTATCAGGAATAGTCAATATTGACTGAAATATTTGTTCTTATTGATTTTCTAATACTTTCACCCAACTTTTAATAGTGGTTTGTTTGAATTTTTTTATATGAAACAGTGGACCAAAGATTTGTGTCATTCGGGACTGTACTTCATTTTAACTCATAAATTCCCTCAACTATACAGATTTTGAACACTGAATGAGTGATATAATAGTCGTAACATTTATTCAGCTATAATGAAACGGACGCCCATGTATTGTAGTAGTGGAATCATTGACGTGCGTTTCATCCTAACTGAGACTCGTCAACTGGATGTACCTGCACCCCGGAGTTGATGTTCACTCCAGGCAGTATCAAGGCAATGTGCATAGGATGTACATATGCCAGTAAGATACTGATCAATTGCAATTCTAGACATAAATCGAAAGATTTGAACAAACAATGTAGGGAACAAGAACACGACTAGAAAGACAATCTGCTAACGCATTACAAAGCATGTCATTAAAATCTGAGAACTATATAGTAAATCGTTAATTTGCAAAATAATAATCCATCGTGTCAAACTTGGCTGTTTCGCAAATATCAGTCCATCGTCTCAGATTTGATTGTTCATGCACTTCCATACCAATTGGGTTCCGTTCCCGTTCTTTCCTTATCGATCTTCTACTGAAATACATTCTATGACTGACCATTATTATATACTACTTATGTGAATATAAGTAACCCACACCACAACAATACAAAATGAATAAAAACATAAACAGTTAACAAGCTTGAAAACGTTAACTAATCTCTTTCACTCTTAAAAAGTAGGCGATATAAGTGAACTATTCATTACTTAAAATTCCAATAATGTCAGGATTAAGGTTTAGATCTTGGTTTATGAACAGTGTAGAAGAAGACATTGAAGTTGTATTAATGAATCCTTAAGAAAGTTAGTAACAATATCAAACTTTTTTATGCATTTTAATACACTTTCTTTACTACTATTTTTTTCAAACAAGAAACTATTCGCTTTCTCATTTTGATTTAATCACTTGGTCAACTTTATCATTTTTAAGCGTTGTTAGTAACTTAATCTTAATAGGACATAAGCTAATCATCATCGTGTTTTGAATTTTCTCCCAAAAATGTTTTGATTGAGATTATGAACCGACTGATGTCGGGACATGAAAGTACTGGATGGCCGTTTAATCCTATTGTGGGACTCTTCAGCAGTGCGCATCCACGATCTCGCTTGCGATATTCGAACCCACGACTTTCAGTCTCGCGCGAGAACACCTAACCACTAGACCATTGAGCTGGCACTCAGCGTTGTTATTGTCTATCTTTAACCAATCCACGAAAGGTTTAGTCACTATCTTTAATGTGATTGATTCGTTAGTAAAGTACACGTTTATCACATAAACAAGTTGTAAACAAACTGTTAAAGATAAGTTACTCTTTACAGTCTTTAAAATGAGTATTTTGATTAATAGGCATATTCATATGCTTCCTCTCTCATTCTACTGAACTAAATTGTAGACATGCTAAATTTGTAAACATCTTGTATATGGGTTAGAAGGGTTTGTAGGGGGCTTTATTAAATGGAGCCATTATTTCATGATTCCTATCTAATGAGAAAATTTATTAATTGCAAAGAGCCAATAATAAGTTTAGAGTCCATTCAATGATTGTTATAATACAGATAAATCATTTCTAGTAGCACTGTTCTACGCAACACATGGCTCAACCATCTCAGTCGATGAAGATTATCAACCTCATCAACTGACTTACCAACATTCCCATTACTTACCCAGTGATCCCAGCAGATACTAACCTAACATAATTCAATTTCATTAGAGAGTTAAAAAACAAAAACAAACAATCAAAAATAATTCGTGTCAGAAGAGGTTTTTTGGATATTATGGTATGAATATTATAGTGCTGATACTAATCAACATATGCTCGATGGTGACTGACTTCAAGAGGTGTTTCCTGGAGTTCTAGTGAGAAGCAGTGGCCAGCGGGGTTCAGTCGGTTCTGTTGTGAGATAATAGGAACACACTGAAAACAATGGTGGATGTGTCGCTCAATTTCGTGGATTAGTTAAAGTTAGACAATAACACTGTTGGATGCCGATTCAGTGGTCTAGTGGTTAAGCGCTCCTGCGCCAGACCGATAGGTCGTGAGTTTAAATCTTGCGAGGCAGGGTCGTGGATGTGCACTGTTGAAAATTCCCACAATAGGACGAAACAGCTATCCAATGCTTCTAGGTTCTCCATGATGGTCCTGCTTCAATTGACTCATGATCTCAACTATTGAAAAATATTACATTTTCATTATTAATCAATTAAGTATTTCCATTTATTATCAAATTTATAGGAATGACATTATTTCAACTTGCACATAATATTATTGAAAATATTATTATCAGAAAGCATTGTAAGCTAATATTAATTTGCATGCTTTTTCACTGTAGCACTAATCGTTTGCATAGAATAGTATTAGATATTTCTAGTAACTTCTATGTATATTTGTAGTTGGTAGATTTGGATTAATTTCTATGATATTGATTTAAATATCAAAACAATCACATAAATGCATTCTAGTTACTTTTACTAACACATAGTTATCTATTGTAAGTGTTTACTAAAGTAGATTTCTTGATAGAAAAAAGTTATGTATAAGTAAAGATGGTTTATGGTTGAGAATGGAATCTAGGAAGTGAGTTTCGCCGTATTTGCGCCTGCATTTTAGAGTTGATGTTCACTTAAAGATTGGAACACATTACTGTTCGCTTCGAATGTCATTTTGTTATTCATTTAACTAATTCACCACATTGAACAAGCCATTGGCTGTCTGATTTCAGTAGCAGCACTTGAGATAATTTTAAAATGTACTTAGTACCTTACGCCTGTTATCCCTCATGGAGGAGCCTAAGCCACTCACCAAAATTCTCTATCAAACTCTGGCTTGGATAATCCTTTCCAGTTGATATTCATTCCATTGATATTCTGCTTCTTATTCTCGATGCAGTGTGTTCTTTAGTTTTCCTCTTTTCCGTTTCCCCTCAACATGAAGATCCAGTTTGTTGATTTCTAAAATGTGTGTCCTATCCACTTCCAACGTATTTTCCTAGTTTCTTCTTCAGTTAGAAGTTGATTTGCTCTCTCAACGAGAATTCAGTGACTTCCCAAAAATCTCGACTTTGATAATGAGGTGTCATAATTCTTTTGAATGTAAATCCTTCAACTTGAATGGCTGATTTTAAACGGTTCAATCCATTTATTCTAGTTAGCGTTTTTTTTTAGAAAAGTTTTTTTCTGCGGAATGGGGTTGCTGACCTCATCCTCAACCCTCCTTCTTTGTGTGGTCTTGGGATCGACGGTAGCCCTATAAGAGCTGCAAGCAGAGTTTGCAGTTAATGAGTTTCACTCTTTCTCATCATCGCTAGACTTTTCTTTAATCAGTCACTCAAAATTACGTCCCATCCTTCATCCAATTATGTATATATATATATATATATATATATATATATATATATATATATATATATATATATATATATATATAATACTGTACTTTTGTTCATATTTTTCTATATATATACTACTAATATGACCATCATTTTTTTTAAATTTCATTTCTTTTAAAGGTTTAGAAGTTGGCATTGAACCAACTGGACAACATAAAGAGGTAAAAGATAAAAAAGATTTGGCATTACTGGCTGAAATTGAAAATATTTCAGCGAGATTAGATTTTCGACATTATGTAAGATGTTATGTAATGTTTACTTTGACTTTCTATCTTCTCAATTTATACATTATTGATTTACACGTATTACTGACTGAAGTACTAGTAGTACTAGTAGAAGTAATACTGCGGTGCATGCTACTTATATCTGTCAACATAAATATCAGAAGGTTATGAAGGTCGACTTGAAGAAACTAGAAACGCAAATAGAATGGAATTGTTACTTGGAAGAATCATCTTTGACAATACACATAGATGGTTTCTCTGGAGATCGCACCAAGACTTCCAGGTTTCGCATCGGGCTAATAACCTGTAAACTACTATGACACCATTCAGTGGTTTACATTTCCGATTCAAAGCAGTTTTATTTATTATACAACCACAGAACAAACCCTTTAATTTATTTATACTGAAGAGATTTGTGGGTGAATAAAATAATGGAAATGATGACTTAGCTGACAGTTGACTATGAGGAAATCAACTACCACTATATACTGTCTAAACATATTTACATTGCACTTCATATGAATTCCACTTAAGACGGTTATGATGCAATAAATATTGAATTCTTTTTTTGGTTTGTTTACTCAAAAAAAAGTAGAACGCGATTTTCAACTAATAGGTGAGTCCCACAATAGGTCGAAACGGCAGTTCAGTGCTTCCAGGTTTTCCATGGTGGTTTAGCTTCAACTGACTCGTGATCTTAACCATTGAAATTACTATAATATCCACAAAACCCATCTGATAATAGGTGAATAAATTAATGTTTTCTAGTTTCAACTATCTATTAAAAAGATATAATTGGAAGATTCAAAGAATTAATGGAAATGAACATGAATCTTAATTTTATGCTACTAGCATCTGCATTATTTTGAAATGACTCTGTCTTTATGATTAAAACGGTACTATTTACTAGTACAGACAAAGATGTTACAGTGACTCTTATTGGATCGTAGCTAGATAGCCTACGTTAAACCCTAATGCTTCAGTATTACAATTACTGATGAGTGTAAACTCGTAGAAACTATAGTTTCATCTAACCAACAAATTTCATAAAATTATTTTACTTGATACCGAATCAGTTCAACGAATAGTTGCATGGTTACTTGTCAGTATAAATGGATAAGAACTAAGGACTAGATTAATCAACAATCAATTAGCAGGACAAATCACTAATCACTTTTTACTCTCCTTAATCATTTTCTTGAAAATATAAAATGAAATAATAAATACACAAGTGTTTTGCATCTTTTCTTTTTTCAAAATAACCCATAGGTTCATCCAAATAAACTTATTCCCTATGATAAAACACATGTTTCAGCTGACGATGTATGATGATTTGATTACATTTTTTTAAAAACTTTATGCCAGACATTGAAAGTAACCGCTTCTGTGTTTCATAATCATGGCATGTATGTTTTTATCTACATACATGTATAAAATGATGTAAAACAATGTGTTTCTATATTCAATACATATTTCTGTAGTGTGAACAGATAAACGTGCCAAATGTTATTGTTAGTTGTCACAGCATTCATCGCTCAATGGATTATAAGATATTTTAGACGGATCCCTGCTGTTTCTTTCGATAGATAGATAGATAGATAAATGTGTGGATAGATAGATAGATAGATAGATAGATAGATGTGTGGATAGATAGATAGATGTATAGTAGATAGATAGATAGATAGATAGATAGATAGATAGATAGATAGATAGATAGATAGATAGATGTGTGGATAGATAGATAGATAGATAGATAGATAGATAGATAGATAGATAGATAGATAGATAGATAGATAGATAGATAGATAGATAGATAGATAGATAGATAGATAGATAGATAGATAGATAGATAGATAGATAGATAGATAGATAGATAGATAGATAGATAGATAGATAGATAGATAGATAGATAGATAGATAGATAGATAGATAGATAGATAGATAGATAGATAGATAGATAGATAGATAGATAGATAGATAGATAGATAGATAGATAGATAGATAGATAGATAGATAGATACGTAACCAAAGATAGTCATTTTTTTATATTTATAATCTTCATTAAAACCATATTACCATCGTTATCTGTCCCATTTTATTACATAATAAAAAAAAGCGTTGATTCAACCTACATAGTGAATAGTCCTTATTTTTATCTGTGTACTCCTCAAACATTGTAGCACTAATATCGATGATGAGTAGATGGTTAACTATGATTAGGTAGGTGGAACAGGGGTAAATAATGTGACTAATCATGTAATATTACGTTAATGATCATTTACTTTTGATTCGCTCACATTTAATACTGAACTAATTATCATAAAGAAGGTTACAGAGACATTGTATGCACATAAAGATAACCGTAAGATACTTCACTTGGTATTTATCAAGTGATAATAATTTATTGCAAAAGACATTCTTAAGAATCTGAATAAAAAAGACTGTTATTCTGTCAAACATAACGAATGTCAGCTTATGTCTTTTGTATAAAAAAATACGACGATTAACAACTGATTGATCATTGAGTAATGACCACCTTTATGCTTGTTTAGTCCTTATTGGTTGCATTTTATTCATCAAGTTACTATGTGGCTCATTGTAACTTTACATCAATTGTATTATATTGAGATGTTAGATAGTTATAGATAGTTAACAGGACACCCTGTACCAAAGTTTTGTGCTATTCGATTGTTGTCAGCACGGTTAGTCAGGACTTTTACAGTGGATGGTTGTCCTGTGGTAAATTCGGACACTTATCTCTTAATTTCACAACCTGAGAACTTACAGGTGAGCTACGTAACTTGACGTAATTGAACTGTCCGTATTCATCATTGGACATTTCATCATCATACTATTGATATCATATTGATATTAACATAACTGAGTAGTCATAAAATCTTTATTATAAAACCTTAATCTTTTTCTTGTAGTCTGACAAGAAATTTTGTCATGAAATTCCTGTTATTTGCAATATGCTGACTGATATGAAACATAATACTGAAAACATTTTATTATAGAGAAATTCTAAGATTATATACTTTAATTTCCTTTTCAAACAAGCCTGTAGGGAAACAAATACGTAACACTAATTACACAATCAGGTGGCTATTAGGACTCAGTAGCTAAGTGGATAGCGTGATGACGTTTGAAGCGGACGGTACTGGGTTCGAGTTCCGGAATGAATATCAACTCGGATGCAGATACATCCAGCTGACGAGTCCCTAATAGGACAAAACGCGTGTCCTGGATTCAACGACTAGCCTTTATTTATCTTTGTCTAACACTAGTCGTTTAATAAACATAATTTCCATAGTCAATTATTGTATGTATGCCAAATATAAATATCAAGTGTCTATATTCAATGTTTTCGGAAATACTAATATACTAAATTATAGGTGAAACTATAAATTATGGACGACCTTTGAGCGACTCCAAACAGACCTTCAGAGTGTTCACCTAATAACCAGTACTAAATGAGTGTTATAAAGATTATGAGTTGCAGTTGATGTTTAAGGTTAGGAATTAGATTTCGGGGTATTTTTATCACGAATTGACATCAGCTATAATGCCAAAACTCAATTTATTCAAATGGATGAGTGAATTTCGTGCCAAAATTCGAGATCTATTATCTTGGTTCGTCCATAAATTATAGTCACACCAAATTATGTACTACCATTATTTAGTGTCATAATATAAGATGTCAATTTAAAACATTACAAAAAACAAAACTTGTTTACAAACATGTAGCCATTTATTATTTTATTATTATCATCAGAATGGGTTTGTGGAGGTTTTAGAAATCTCACAGATTGAAATCATGAGTCAATTGAAACTAGACTCCACGAGATTCCTGGATGCACACTGTTGAGGAGTCCTATACTAGGACAAAACGGCCGTCCAGTGCTTCCAGGTTTTCCATCGTAGTCTAGCTTCAATTGACTCATGATTTCGATCTATGATATTTTATTGTTAGTATTATTGTTTACAATATGAATGTTGTGAATTCAAACAAAATGAAATATATTTATAGTTTTAATGTTATTGTTATTTCAAATAGGATCTAGATGCTGTTGTGCGTAAAATGTATATGTCTATTCAAAAAGAACTTGAAGATTTACGTACAGCTAGAAATACAACAACACCTATGCCTGGTAATATATCAATTTTTACCGCTACTAGCAAGTAAGCATTCATTAAGTTACATAATTTTAACTACTCTTTTCGTATATTTTCAATATACTACTTAAATTACGTACGTATCGTTAAACTAATATGACTTCAAGATATGATTTACATTGGTTTATTATAGAGAACAAATATCACGTTTCACTATTATTGTATTCTAATTTATGATCTCAGTTTTACTCAATAAAATAACATATGAAAACACTTATACAAGTAAAAAAGTTCATATTACCATCGTTTACTATCACTACAGTATGGCCAGAATTAATTGTTTCCATAGATTGATAAACAATAAGAAAAATGTGATAGGTTATGCTACATTCAGATAAAGCCTTTTACAAATTGTGGTTTATGCTACTTATACGTGGTATGTAACATCAATCAGAAGTGGAATGTCTGCGAGTAGTAGGTTGATAAAAGATTGAAATGAAGGGAAGAGAAAAGAGAAAACTTAAGCAATAAAAATAACATTAAGAGTGGAGGGATATTCAATCTCGTAAGAGACCATCCGAAGAAAATGTGCAAATGATGTATTTGATGTATGATTTCCATATTTTACTACATAGTTGTGTGATTGTGCATTAAGAAATAAATTGTTCTTCCCTACACAAGTGTTCTTTCATTACAATATTAATCTGTCAGTATCCTAAGTCGAAGACAGGCCTCAACATAACTTTATCTGCGTCAAGTTATGATACCAAGATTTACTGTATATATTCCCTAAATGAGCCATAAAACAACACGGTGATAATCTACTCAACTTAATGAAAGCAACTTCTAGAGATAATTTCAAAGAAGTAATAATTTTATAACGCTTTCAGATAATATAGTCCCCATAACAAGGAATGGAGTAATTATCAAAGAACAATTTTTTTAACAGTTGTGACGAATCAGTCAGCGAATATACAACCAAATGATGGTCAGATATTAACCTGATAAAAGTTAAGTTATCAATAGAAATATTTACTTACGCCTGTTACTTCCAGTGGAGCATAGACCGCCGACCAGCATTATCCAACTCACTCTATCCTGGGCCTTCCCTTTTAGTTATATCCAAGTGTTGTTCATTCTTCTCATGTCTGTCTCCGTTTCTTGGTGTAATGTGTTCTTTGGTCTTCCTCTTCTCCTTTGAACTTGATGATTCCGAGTGAAGGTTCGCCTTGTGACGCAGTTAAGTGCTTTCCTAAATATGTGTCCTATATACTTACACCGCTTCTTGATTTCTTCCTCCGCTGGAATCTGGTTTGTTATCTCCAGAAGTACGTCTTTGCTGATAGTGTCTGGACAACGGATCCAAAGTATTTTACGTAGACAACTGTTATTAAACACCCGTATCTTTTGGATGATGACTTTCGTAGTTCACCAAGTTTCCGCCACATACAGTAGAACTGTGTCGATATTTGTATTGAAAATTCTGACTTTGGTGTTGGTTAAAAGAGAGTTGCTTTGAGTTTCAGATGTTCTTCAGTTGTAGACATGCTGTAATATTTACTGACTTATAATTATTCAACATCATAATATTAAAGAATAACAACCGCTATTCATGAGTATTCATATGAATCACAAAGATTCTTGATATTTAAAATTAACGAAATAAATTCATTAGTTTCTGTCTATTTCAGGCTACTGTGGATTTGTTTATTCGATTTCTCACTAATATTTATAAATTTTAACACTTTATTCTGATTTTCTGGCGTAATTTCGAACATCTAACCCTAAATCTTAACAATAACTCCTACCTAATTTCTAGGTGACTACTTAACAATCATTTTTTTACAGATAGTAATGTCGGTTTCACATTTCTTAAAGTCCTTAAAAGTCATTAGAATGGTTTCCTTTCAACTAATTAACACTATAAAAACAGTTTTGTTGGAATAAGTTTTAAAAGCATTAGGGTATTAGAAATGTTATGGTAGTCGCTTGTAATCTGTTCTATCGCTATTTCTATTTACTGTGTTCTTTACACGTCTTGTCATTGTTTGTATACGTAGTTTGATTTTTATCTCCCCTATCTCTTGACCATAATGTTTTTTTTTATTATTGACTGATAAGCTGAGTATGCATCAAGTTGGTTTACTCATGGCTGCTGACTAATTTGAACTTAAAGATTCTAAAAACTATCTGGACATATTCTATTTGTTTATGACCAAGAGTTCGAAGTTTTCTATGAGAATTTGTGTCCATAACAGTCTATATGTATTAATCTACGTGATATAGAGAGCGCAAATTATTTTCATGAATGAGCTACAGATCTTTGCATGTCTAACTCCTTTTATTATGCATGATAGATACAATATGTACCAATTGATAAGCACTCTGTCTTTCATTTTCTCAAGTTTTTCGTAAATATTCATCATAGAAACCATGTGTATAATCAATCAAAGCTAATTCTTTCCCATTTTTCTCTACCTGATAAATCAAATCTGTTTTTTTTTTCAATTTCATCTAGAGAAGGTGTTGAACGTTATGAGTTAATGTTTCCAAATAGTGCAAAACGAAAAGAATGGGAGAGAACAATACTCGAATTAAAACGTCAATTAAGTAAGTTTGTTTAATATGGCTCTTATACAGAAAATGAAATATAATCACAGTAAATCAAAAGTTGATGGATATCTATTGAAAATTCCGCCTAGAGCCCTTCCTGGAGCTACTGACAGTCCCAACCCCGATAAAGGAGGAGGGTTGGGTATGGGTGAGTTAGAGAATGCTGGTCGGTGGCCTATGCTCCACTGGGAGCAACAGGTGTAAGTACGTGAGTACATTTATTCAACGCAACAAACATCATAACTGTTATTTACCTATCCAAGATACAGAAAATTATCTAGAGTTCATTAAAAAGATCCTTCTTTGAAAAAAAAACCAAAAATACTATTTCTCTGTGACATTGATTCACATGTGAAAGAGCAGTTTTTCTTTCTTTTTTTATATTATTTTTGAATGGTAACTCGCTTCATATTTCAATAACATTTACTAGAGATACATCATTTGAACAAGACGGTAGTTTAATGAAGAGATCTCTTTACGATGATCTCATTCTTAAAGCTGATCAATTGTATATATATATATACATGTTAGCATATTCTGCTATATAGATTTGTCAAACATGACAAATTATTGAAACAAAAGAGTATAATTGTGTTTCTCATCAAGAAGGTTAGATCGGAATCTTCGTCTTGCTGTACTAATGAGGTGTGGCAACTTGGACCGATGCATATATGTTCCTAGTCCTACTTTGTAACTGACTAACTGACTGAATGGAGTAAAGGGTTTGATTTGTAAAAATGATTTTTTTTTAAAATGTACATGTATGTGATTTAAATATGTTTATTTTAATTGTTACTTTTTAAGGCTCTGTTAAAAGAATGGCACGATTTAATGAGGCTGTTCAAATTCCACGTACATTACCAGGAATACAAGTGAGTCATTTGTTATATTACTTCCAATATATACATATATAAATATATCAAGTTTCATCCGTAGAGCACTGCCAATCAAATATATATACATATATCTTAATAAATGAATGACTGTGATTGCCGAATCGAAATAAATATAGTTTATTTCACTGACTGTTCTTGGCTAAACAACCTTCCAAAAACTAGGAAGCATTTGGTCTCTCCTTCGTTCAAGTATGAAATGTCTTAGACTTGAGTATAAAGGACTCTCTCATGGATTGACCACAGGACCGTTAGTTCACGGTTAACGTTTACATACTAGACCACTGAACCGGGATCTGATAGTGTTTATGTTTATGTCAAACCAATTTTTATCTAATCAAGATCAAGCAACGGTCCAGAATATAATGTTCGACAGTTTTACTAACCCCTAGTAATTAACTTCTAGAGTTAATTCCCATAGTTCTTGTAAGAAGTTATGACCATATTAAGTGCGATAAGTTATACACAAAGGCAATGGAAATAGTCGGGTTATATAGCAAATTTATTGAAGTAAAAGATGTAAACCAATAAAAGTGAATCCAGTGACCTGTAGTTTAAATGCCTGTAGTAACATGTGGGCAGGCCAATCACTGAGATTCAACAACATTGGGACAGATGGGTAGAGTACTTTGAGGAAATCCTGAATAGACCGGCTCCAATGAAGACCTCGACATCTGGGGGAAAACACGGCATATAATGGACAGCTGAGAACCAATGAGACGATTTGGACTTCGCAAATGACCTAGCCCTCCTACCTCATACACACGATCAAATGCAGATAAAGACAGCCAGTGTAGCTGCAGTCTCTGCATCAGTAGACCTCAACATACACAAGCGGAAAACCAAGGTCCTCAAATTCAACACGGAGAACACCAACCCAATCACACTTGATGACGAGACTCTGGAAGATGTGAAATCCTCCACATACCTGGGAAGCATCATCGATGAACAAGGAGGTTCAGATGCAGAAGTTAAGGCGTGGATTGGCAAAGCAAGGGCCGCATTCCTACAATTGAAGAACATATAGAACTCAAAACAACTTTCAGCCAATATCAAAGTGAGAATCTTCAATACGGACGTCAAGGCTTTCTAACAGTCAAGGAAGTTGATGTATAGTGACGAATTGTATTCAATCAATTGTTCAACGAGGATCTATAACGTTGCTATTTGGTCTATGCACAACCGATCTTTAAAAATCACCTAATCACTCTAACCTCACATTAGCACTGAATTAAAAAGCATTTCTTCTTTACAACTAACAGATTCTCCACCTAACTTTATCAAACTGCATTATTCATAGTTTATCATTAATTATATATGTTGAGTGGATCTTGTCTAAAATTGTTATACATCCCTACTCAGTTACACTGAAAACGTAATAGTACACTATTATCATCAATCATAAAATCGTTTTATAAATGAAAAGTATGATTATACAAAATGGTGAAAATTTTCATATATATACATATCATAGTAGAATTATTCAAAACACATTACAATTGAACAATTAATCACATGGTTTTACACAAAAGCATACAATGTCCCTAAACATTTGAAGTGTAACCACGGGGAATTTGTTTTTGTATCTCCATCGGTTTGTACGGAGAACAGCAATCCAATCACTCTTGATGGCAAAACTCTGGAAGATGTAGAATCCTTCACATACCTGGGAGGCATCATCGATGAACAAGGAGGTTCAGACGCAGACGTAAAGGAGAGGATTGGAAAAGCAAGGGCCGCATCCTACAACTGAAGAACATATAGAACTCAAAACAACTTTCAACCAATATCAAAGTCAGAATCTTCAATACTAACGTCAACACAGTCAGTTTTATTGTACAGAGCTGAAACGTGGAGAACTATTACAACTATCATCAAGAAGGTACAAGTATTTATAAATAGTTGTCTGTGCAAGATACTCAACATCCACTAGCCGGATACCTTCAGTAACAGCCTTCTCTGGAAGAGAACAGACCAGCTTTCATCTGAAGAGAAAATTAGGAAAAGGCGATGGAAATGGATAGGATATACATTACGGAATCATTAAACTACATCACGAGGCAAGCTGTAACTGGGAATCGTGAAGGGAAGCAGAAAAGTGGAAAGCCAAAGAACACATTGCGTCGGATAATAGAAGCAGATATGAAAAGGATGAATAACAACTGGAAGGAGCTGGAGAGCATTGCCCAGGACAGGGTTGGATGGAGAATGCTGGTGGTTGACCTATTCTCCTTCACGAGGTGTAAAAGGCGCAAGTAAATAAGTTAGATGTGAATTTCTCGAATCTGATCCCCGACGGGGCAGAAGAAAGGAAATACCGGAGAGATTTTGATGGAGTTTTATTCTCTCCAGCTCAGACAAAACAAAACTCCATCAAAATCATCCACCTGAGCTACAAATCTTCTCTACCATCTCAAAATCATATAAGCGTAATACGCTTCTTATTGTTCGAAAATGGGAGAATTTCGCCAAAACGCAGGCTTCTACTCGAAAACAACTCTATTTTCCTCACAAGTGTCCTCCTTTTATCCGGGCTTAGGACCAGCAGTAGCCCCCGGAAGGACTCCAATAGGAGTTTATATACTACTTATGCAGATATAAATCATACACACCATAATATCACCAAACCTTTATAAAGATACTATTCTTAAATACTGAGACTAGTAAATTGTAGATTCTATAAAAGAAATGAAAATATTTCTTACAAAATTATATCCATAAGTTAATTTAATTAAACAATTTCTTTATAAGTTAACAGCTGCTTTCATTTAAACTATATTAGTAGACCAAATTGTTCACGTTGTTTTTTTCTTTCCCCTTCTTCTCCTTCTCTTTCTTCTTCTTCTTCTCCTTCTTCTTCTTTTCCTTCTCCTTCTTCTTCTTCTTCTTCTTTAAAATGTAATCTCTCTATGAATTTAGATGAAAAGCAGACTATGTACAAACAAATTTACAACAGGTGTAAGTTACCCAGACAGAGAATTAAAAAATTACACGTACACATTGTACATATTATATAGAATTCTGTTAATATTACATTTGACTTAATCTACAATTTATCAATTTCAATCTATGTAGAATAGTAAAAAAAATGAAGCAAATCTTATCATTTAGCATAATAATGATAATCAATGATATTAAATCTGTGAAATATTTAAGGTAGATACTAAGTACATTCAGTTGGGCTTCTCCTTCTTCTTCATTGTTGTTGTTGTTGCTATTCATATGCTTCTATTTGAGATATTATTGTTTGATGAAGAAAATGTGCTTCTCCTTCATCTTCCAAAAATGTGTATTCATTAGAAAGGTGTTATTGGGTCTTTAGGTGAAATGCAAAATACGAAACATATTTTATCAGCTTTTGATATATATATATATATACATATGCTTGGATACATATGTATCTTTTATTTATTTTTTGTTTTTTAATATGTTCACGTTTGGTACTGATGTTTCTATAACAGATATCTGTGAAGTGGGGTTTCTTTTTCTTCTCGTTTCTGTTTTAAATTCTGCTTTGCAAATATATATATATATATATATATATATATATATATATATATATATATATATATATATATATATATATAGATAGATAGATAGATAGATAGATAGATAGATGTGTGGATAGATAGATAGATAGATAGATAGATAGATAGATGTGATAGATAGATAGATAGATAGATAGATAGATAGATAGATAGATAGATAGATAGATAGATAGATAGATAGATAGATAGATAGATAGATAGATAAATAGATAGATAGATAGATAGATAGATAGATAGATAGATAGATAGATAGATAGATGTGTGGATAGATAGATAGATAGATAGATAGATAGATAGATAGATAGATAGATAGATAGATGTGTGGATAGATAGATAGATAGATAGATAGATAGATGTGTGGATAGATAGATAGATAGATAGATAGATAGATAGATAGATGTGTGGATAGATAGATAGATAGATAGATAGATAGATAGATAGATAGATAGATAGATAGATAGATAGATAGATAGATAGATAGATGTGTGGATAGATAGATAGATAGATAGATAGATAGATAGATAGATAGATAGATGTGTGGATAGATAGATAGATAGATAGATAGATAGATAGATAGATAGATAGATAGATAGATAGATAGATGTGTGGATAGATAGATAGATAGATAGATAGATAGATAGATAGATAGATAGATAGATAGATGTGTGGATAGATAGATAGATAGATAGATAGATAGATAGATAGATAGATAGATAGATAGATAGATAGATAGATAGATAGATAGATGTGTGGATAGATAGATAGATAGATAGATAGATAGATAGATAGATAGATAGATAAAAAGCCATAGTCTGTAACAACTGTTCATTAGATCACAGTTGGCAATTATTAGTAAATAATTAACATTTCTTGATAATAAGTATTGTAGTGAATGAGAACATCAGTGAGGATAATTGGATGTATTCAAGCATGAAATTACAGAACGTCTTAGTAAAATGAGAGAACCATATAGTAAATACTTCATTTATAAAATGTTAATGAATTGTCTCATACTTGACTGTTCCTTTGGCAAATATCAGTCAATCGTTACAGACTTTATTGTTCTTGTATTTCCATATCAACTAATTTCTGTTCTTGTTCTTACCTTCTTGATCTTCTTGACTTTCTGCTGCCTTACATTCTATTCCTGACTAACGTTATATACTGCTTATGTCGATATAAGTAGCACAAACCATATTATCAATACTAAGGTTGGACTTGACAGCTTTAAATAAATTGAGCATTGTATAGTGAGTTAATAATGAATGTATTTTTATAGGTTTGGGGGTTGTGGAGATTGTTAAGTTTTTGATTGAGATCATGAACCGATTGATGTTAGAACACCATAGAAAACCTAGGTGCACTGGACGGCCGTTTCGTCCTATTGTGGTACTAATCAGCAGTACGCATCCACGATCCTGCTCGCGGGATTCGAGCCCAGGACCTTCAGTCTCGTGCGCGAACGCTTAATCTACTGAACCACTGAGCCGGCATCCAATGGTGTTAATGTCTAACCTCAACTAATCCACGAAATTGAGCGACACATCCACCATTGTCATCAGTGAATTACTACCTCACAACTGACCCGGCTCAGTGGTCTAGGTGGTTGAGTGCCTGGCGCGGAACTGATAGGTCCTGAGCTCGAATCTCGCGAGACGAGGTCGTAGATACGCACTGCTGAGGAGTCCCACAACAGGACGAAACGCCCGTCCAGTGCCTCCAGGTTTTCCATGGTGGTTTAGCTTCAATTGACTCATGATCTCAACTGTTTGAACAAATGGAATTTTTAGACATTTTAAACATTTTGCTAAATTTCGTCTATGTAGTTGTAGTCATTAAAATTATTCTAATTAATGATTTTAAACTAATTGACATTATAGAGAATCGTTTGCAAAGCCTGGATCTTTTCAATCTTTGTCTACCACTCTACATATCGATTTTTAAACTATTTGACTTTTATTCCTTGAATCCGTTTTTTTATTTTTAAACAATACTTTCCTTGTATAGTCTTTTCACTATCATCATTATTATTATTTTGATAGTTGCCTTGATATTTGTAACTCTGTGTTGTGGTATGGTTTGTGAACGTAAACAAACACCTATTTATAAGTGTTTTATACTGCTTCTGACTGATAATGAAATGAATCTTCACCTTATCAACGCAAAATGTAGTTATAAATGATTTGGTCGTGGATCTTTCATTGTTCTTCTGAACGATATTATCAGCACAAACTATCTGAAGCTAAAGGATCACTGAACACTGAACATTGGTTTAATACCAACTTCCCTGAACATACTGAAAAACTGAATGAATTCAGGGTAACTCTCAACGACTATCTAAAGTTTGTGCTGATGATGTCGTTCAGAATAATGATCAAAGATCCACGACCAAACCATCCAGATCAGAGGAAAAAACCCCATCAAAATCATCCACCTGACGTAGTTATAAATGATTTGTGAAAATGGACGCTATCATTTAGACAATGTGGAATAGATTCATAGTTAACTATCAGGAAGTCATAGATCTATACTTCACTTTTTATGTAGATGTATTCAGTTAAATATTTGTATTTTCAAAAAAGATGTCATCGAAAGGAAGATATAATTTAGGTACAACTGGTAAGTGACTAGACAAGTGTTATAGATAAAAGAAGCTTTAAGTGTTTATAAGTCAACCTTAAATTGGTAATTTTGAGAAAATGAAACAGACTTTTACCTCATAACTGTGTATAAACAATAAGACAAAATATTATTAAAGATTGCCTATATCCTCAGTCAAAACTATTAGTTTCCATTAGTTATTCGTACTAACGAAATTTTCTATTGTTATTTTGTTAACTAATTAAGCTTTCATGTGCATCTATGATTGAATCATCTCCTCTTGTGGCTGAAACACCTTGTGATGTATGGATATGTGCATCTGATGGTTATACTGGTTATGTTTGTCTACTGACAGTCCATCCAAAACCTAACGTCTATTTCAATGTTCCTTTGTCCGGATGTACATCTCGAATCACATGTATATGCTCTATTCCTGGCTATATTCATCCTGGATTAAGAAGGTCAGTCATAGTCATTTCACTGAAACATTTATATTATTCTAATACATTTAAATATTACTAGAAATAACTATGTTAGTGTATGTGAACAAAAACGTTACACTTCTATAATTATTGAGAATATTACATTTTAACAAGCTTCAGTTTTCACCTCTGTAGATACTGTGCTAGTTACCCTATTAAACCATAAACTGTTTCTCAGAACTGATAGTGTTACTGTATATTTTCTGAGTTGTTCTTTTCATATTACTTTGAAACGATTGATGTATTTCAAGGTATTAAGTTGTAATCTGCTCTGATTTACTATATAGTTGATTCACATAAACTTTAAAGTGGTATCTTGGTTGCGTCAAATAGTTGTCTAATATTTCCTTCTTTTACAGCTTTTTCCTCTGTCACTGCTAGATCTTCCACTTATTTCTGCTTATCGGCTCTAATGCTTCTCTTCACTCTCCTGTTAGCTGCAGTATATTATTGACTTTCTGTGTTTTTCTTCAACTGTCATTGATAAAAGACTTCTTATGTTTCCTTTCTTGAATCCTGACTCAGAGCTTAGATAGATATTTTATTCTTTATGACGATATTTCCTGCGGCACAACACCAAGCATGTTGAAGTTAGTGCTTTTAATTCCTTTTCTAATCGTTCTCCATAATAGTTCCCTCATCTCTGAGTAAATCTCGTATGGCTTGAAACCTGTTGTTGAAAGCTATCCTAAATTCGTTCAGTTTGTCAGTATGTTCAAGGAAGTCGGGATTAAACCACTGTCCAGTGTTCAGTAATTCTTTAGCCTCAATTTTATTAGTCGTTTCGAACTAAAATTAATTCTAAATAACACTGGAAACCAAGAATAACAGAATAGCTGTTTCGTTTTGGCATGAGAGTCCTCAAAAGTGTGTACATACAACCCTTCCAGAAATCGAACACAAGAGCTTCGAATTGCATGTTAAACGTTGTTGAAAAGTAGTTTATTTTAACTTCATTCAACTTGGAATGCAACTTTATTACCATCTGATATCAGTGGTGAAAAATGCCTCACTCCTGAAATGTTCGAAGTATTTGAGTCAAACTTCTCACTAGAACTTCAGTAACATCTCGAAATAACTCACTAATGGGTCTGTAGAATTATGGTCTGCTATGATATTAGTACTGCTCTAATAATAGACCTAATCCTAAAATTGTAGACTTGTCATGATATAACTGCCTAATCTATAAGGTCTTACGTAGAAGTCATACCATCGTCTACACCAACCCATCGTATCGTAACAATCACCAATGTATGATGTAGAACAAGCTTAGTCTAGAGATATAACAATATATTTAATATGAATAAAAGATATAAGGTAACATTCAGCAGGGACCACGCCTGCATAGTCGAGTCATGCCATTCGATCAACTCCAATTAATTCAACTTATTGTTCCCACCTTTTCCATCGTAAGGTATTCCTACGCGTTAAATATTGAATATCTGTTTTCCGAGTAGTCTCATGTTCAGCTTTGAGGATTGTGTGGTTATGGTCCAATGCCATTACAGGTCAACAAACCCGACGAGCCACATATTAGTGATAAACAACTGTCTAATGCTCTCTGAATTTCAATAGCGCTTTAGCTCAAATCAGCTTTTAATGAATGCAAGCCATGAATTAAACCATTCTCCAAAAAATTCCTCTATTAGATTATTATTTTTGTTTGGTTATGTCAAGATTTTTACATGGCACAAACATTTAATGAATATTTCCCTATGTACATGTTAATTCAGTCATCTGACAGTTTCTATTCAATCCCAAAGTTATAAATAATAGAATGAAAGTAAATTATGTGTTTTTTTAACCCCATATGCCACTTTATTATGACAGTGAATAAATGGGATGCAGAAAAATAGAATAGAATATTATAAAAATTCTAATAAAGTAAACATTTTGATAAAACTACATCATAATAAGCAAAGATGGATAGTGGCTAGCTGTGGAATCCAGGACGCGCGTTTGTCCTATTTGGGACTCGTTAGCTGGATGTACCTGAATCTGAGAGTTGATTTTCACTCTGGGACTCGAACTCAGTACCATTCGCTTCAAACGCCATCGCGTTACCCACTTAGCTACTGAGTCCTGATAGCCACTTGCTTGTGCAATGGAATGAAGTTTAATTCACTTGGTATTGTTTCACTTGAATCTTCACATTGATGTTTTGCTTATAATGCTTGTAAATTAAGGCAATATCGAGGCATACGCACAGTATGCACATATGCCAATAAGAGACTGATCAATTTCAGTCCTAAAACATCAATGGGAAGATTCAAGTAAAACAATACTAAGTGAACTACATCATAGTAGTAATAGAATTTATTCAGAATTGTTATTAAATAAATTGAAAGCTATTAGCTAACAGGATTCAGTAGGTAAATGAATAATGTGATGACGTTTGAAGCTAACTATACTGGACTCGAGTCTAGGAGTGAACATAAATTCTAGGATGTAGATACATCCGGCTACCTGATGAGTCCCAATTAGGACGAAACGTGCGTGCTAGATTCTGTTGCTGATTGTCATCCATCTTTATCTTTTTCTTAACTTGAACCCAAGTTACAAAAAAATGCTAAACTAGATGTTAAATTTATCATTAATGTTGATTTTAAGATATGGACTTCTAAAACAGTTATGAATAACAAGTACACGCTAATCATATATTGTTTACTTCAGTAAACAGTAGAAACATTAAACTGTAGTGTCGGCCATTATGTTAAGCCCATATATCTTATTCTAGCTTTTGAACATGCCAATTTATCCATTCTTCTTGAGTTACATTTTGACTTTTTTAATTACTGACTTATCAACCCTGACTGCTTTTATATGAGCGTATGTGTGTGTACATCTTATCCTACTCACCACATGTTTGTAGCCTATTTTCTTGTGACCATAAATATTGATTAACGCTTGATTAAATAGAGTTGGCTCACACGACTTCTTCACTGAGCGTCATTTCGCTTCGTTCCTCTGATTGTCTGTTTATATCAATGATTGTACAAAATATAAGTATTCAAAATTCCATTCACGTTATTGACTTATTTGATTCTGTTATTCATCAACGCGATTTAAGTCGATGATTATAGACGAGAATAGGCGATATCTATATTTCGATAGTAATCATTCAATAGTAATCAACATATAATCTAATTAGAGTCAGATCCCGAACTACTAGAAAAAAACTAAAGGGTTTGATTTAATATAATATTTCTTTATAATAATATAAGTATAGATAAACTATTCTTAGTAGTATTTTTTATTTCCCAGATATTGATATTGAGAATTACATTTTATCTGTCACTGTTGTCAAACAACAGTTATGTCGTGAGAAGGCAGTGAATATGACTTCCCTTTCAGTGGTTGTATGCACGTGGCAATATGAGGACATTTCGAGAGGGAGAGTTGACTCTCCTCACTCTTGGCCGTACCAGGGTATTTGGGGGCAATAATAATAGGATTAACTGAGCATATATGAGAAATATAAAGATTAACTTTTTCGTTATTAAAACAAGACTTACTATTTGTTTAGACAATTATTTGTTATAGGATATTTGGATGCAGGATAGACATAAATAGAATTTTCCGGATTATTTACATAAACTTTTAATGTGTTTCATAACATTTTTATTACACTATATTTAAACTTTAGAACATCCCACAGTCTAGGAGTTCAAAGTATTCGGTCGAGATATGGAATGGAAAAGAAACGTTCAGCCACTATGGATCAGCCACTTTTAGAAGTAGAACAACAGGTAACAGAAGAAAATAATCGTCAACAAAAACTGTCTGCAGCATTTTCAGAAAAAGCATCTCGGATGATTACAAATGAGAAAGTGGTTGATTCAAAGGTTGTGGATAAAATAGAATCAAATACAAACAATGATGCAAACAAAAATGCTGGAACTACATTAGATGATGATGTAAGATGTAGGAAAAGTAGCATTCCACAAGACATAAGCACAAGTTCTCATTCAACTACTCCACCTGATACACCAACCAATACAGAATCTACATTGAAACTCTCAGATGGAGATGAATCTAAAGGTGATGATATTTTAAATCTACCTAAGAAATGTGATATTGCTCTAGAATCTAGTGAAATTAACGTGCAACAAAGTCATGAGTTGATTACTCAAGCACACCATGAAAAATCTAATTCGTTTGAAAAAATTAAAAACGAACCACAACAAGAGATTAGTTTAGATATTTATGCTGAATATACTGATGATCAAGACGATCCTACATCGAATGATTCAGATTCTTCTGATATTAGTGAAACAGAAGGTGATTTAACACAACAAATAATTTCAGAGAATTTATCAGATAACTCATTATTCAAAGAATCTGAACAGAATATACAATCATCTTGTGAATACGATGGCAAGACAGGTAAGGTTACATTACAAATCGATTTTTATTTATGGAAGATAAAGTACTTTAGAACTTTTCATGAACAAGCGATCAATTTTCATTGTCATTTATTTTTCTTTTATACAAATAACTGTAACTTGTACTACCAAGTAGACAATCATGTATGTATATTCACAAAATCAAACTTTGTATTTATTTAAGTAGTGTGATAAATATGTAAATTTCTGTCGGTGCGAATACAGCACACGGTAACATTATTGTGTATACTACTGACATTGATAGATATAAGTAGTATATATCATCAATCGAAAGTGAAATATCTGGCAGCAGAAGGTTAAGAAGAGCAAATAAAGGAGAACGATAATAAAGAATGATTACTGTTGAAATGAAGGAACACTGAAGTCTGAGATGATTGATTGACATTTGCTAAAGGAACAGTCACTTTTGAGACAATCGATTTACATTTTGTAAATGAAGTATTTACTATATGGTTTCCTTATTTCACTGAGATGTTCTGTAATTTTGTATTCGATTGCATTTGATTGTCCCCACTTGTGTTCTCGTTCATTATAGTATAGAGATTAAAATCCTTAAAAATTATTATGGATTCTCTTGATACACCGTAAACTTCTTTTTATAATTTGAAAAACGATGGTAAACTATAATGAATAAGTTATTTAAGCTTTTCGATTATTACTAAACAATACTGACTGATTTAAAGTGAAGTACAAAAGATAAAGCTGGCAAATTGTTATAACTTGTGACCTGTGTGCCTTGTTAATGTATAACGTAAGAATACCGCCAATTAGAGAGCAGTGAATTATCGATCGGACCAATGACGCGTAAACCCCTACGAGTAGCCTAGAATATTTATCGCTCCTGCTTCCTGCCAAGCCCAGCCAGTTAAGTCCAGAAACCAATCTCAGCCTCTGAGATATGAATCATTTAACTCAAACATACAGGGTTTATATACCAACCAGACAGACCACATTGTACCATAAAATAGGAAACAACATTTGTACAACATCTAACCAAAAGCGGCTATCGATGTAGACATAACTCAAGAACGGTATATCGCATAATAATAATCTATTGGGTAAAATAAAGCTTATAATAAGAGGAAGATAAATATCCATAGGTTAGCTACTTAACAGTTATACAGTAAAAATATATGTATCGTATTGGTCCGTAAATAGTTCCCAAAGGTTACCATTCTATAATTGTTGTTAGGATATAACAGAAATATGTCTATTAGACCATACATCTATATATAGCATAGTAAAAACCTGTATATGATCAAACAAGAAACAAGCATTGTTTAGATTGATCTATACAAGATATTGAAAAGTTAGTTACCACAAATTATTCGTCACATTCTTTAATATTCTGACCTCATTATAAGTCTTCATTTCCTTATTATGTTTTTATAGATTTATGTCTATCATAACTAGATCTAATAGTATGACAAATGAAACAATTAAACAGTAATTTATATAAAGCCTCCTTTCTGTAATGAATTGATTAATCTCTTAATGAATATACACATAGATACATACATACATGACATTTAAGTAGACAAGTAATTATTTCTTTTATTTTTTTCTCTGTTTTTCCAAAATAGTTTCATATATTCATGATTTATAAGTTAATGATTTTCTTTGATTGTTTTCCATTAAAAAAAAAAGAAATCACTATGTGGCCTTGAACAAATTGTTCCCATGATTAATTTCCATTCTTTTTCTTTCACTTCTTATATATATTGTTATAACTTGTGAACCTGCGTGCCCTGTTATTGTATAACGCAACAATACCGCCAATCAGAGAGCAGTGAATGATCGATCGAACCAGTGACGTATAAAATACGTGCGAGCAGCTTAGAGTCCTGATTAATCTCGCTTCCTGTTTAGCCCAGCCAGTTAAGTCCAGAACACCGATCTCAGCCTCTGCAATATGAATCATTATATTTCAAACATACTAGGTTTATATACCAATCAAACACAAACAATATTTGTACAAGAATTAGCCAAAAGTGGCTGTGAATGAGGGAGGTAGTGATTAACAGACAAGGAATAGTTCAAGAATGGTAAATCGTATAATAATAGTTCATAGGTCAAAATAAAACTCATGATAAGAGGGACACGAAAATATGTATAGTTCAGTTGCATAACAGTTATACGATTAAAATATGCTCATAGTATCGGTCCATAAATGGATCGCAAAAATTACTATTCATTATTTTCATCGGTATATAACATATGTATATAATCTTTTTCTTTTGTTTTAATATTAAGATGAATATTCAAATTCACATGGTAAAAATCATTGTCTCACTAATTCAACACAACCATTAATGTGGTTGGGTACAGAAGAAGGAAGGTATGTTTTAATATTTAATAAATATTATATAATACATTATATTTATAATCTACTTATTACTTTCGAAAAAAAAGAGATTATATGATTTTGGAAATGGATGTGGATATGTTGCTCAATTTCGTGGATTGATTGAGGTTAGTCATTAACAACATTGGTTACTGGCCAGATCAGTGGTCTAGAGGTTAAGCGTTCACGCGTGAAACTCATAGATTCTGGATTCAAATCTCTTGAGGTGGGATCATGGATGCGCTTTTCTGAGGAGACCCACAATAGGACAAAACGGCCATCCAGTGCTTCCAAGTTTTCCATGATGATCTAACATCAAATTGACTCATGATCTCAACCACTGAAAGTTTATATGTATGTTTTGGATTTATAGTAAAATGATAAAAATTTACATAAGATCTGGTCTTATTCTGGGACTCGTTAGCAAAGCGCATCCATGATTCCACGTCAAGAGGTTCGAATCCAGAATCTATGAGTCTCGCGCGTGAACGCTTAACCTCTAGACCACTGATCTGGCCAGTATCCAACGGTGTTAATGTCTAACTTCAACTAATCTGTCTTCAGTCAGTTACCATCTCAGTGCTTCCAGGTTTTCCGTGGTGGTCTAGCTTCAATTGACTCATGACCTCAACCATTGAAATTACTATAATATCCACAAAAACCCTTTTTTAATGAATTGTTGAAGTAATTATATTCAATTAATCTCAGATACTTAAAAGTTTCCATATGTCGAATTCACCCAAACGGTTAGGTCGCATGACATGAAAATTCTATTCAGAGATTCCCATCAATGTCCTCCATCTGTTCAATAGTAATGAGAAGGGTAAAAAAATTTATTTAGTATCAGAAATGTTTCCTTGTCAATGGAGTGATTCTCTTTTCGTATTCTCTTTTTATAGTATTTTATGTTTTACGCAACTGATAATCTAAAGACAAGTAGACAACGTCAGAAACTCAGTTTATCCCATGGAATCAATAATATATTGCATTTCGATGTGCATATATTTGTTGCTTGTGCAAACGGTGATCTTATTGTGTACAAACGTAACTCAGGTATGTCATTTATCAGCTATATCTTCGAATTCTCAACTGTTGTTCAATTTTCATAAATCAAAATGATGAGATTGTAATTTATGGACGACCATTGACTGACGCTTAAATGACCTTGAGAGTGCCCACCTACAGACTAGGGTTAGATGAGGGTTTTAAATCAGTGTATAGAATAAGAACTATGGTTTACACTTGATGGTTAGGGTAAGGAGTTAGATTTAGGATCTTCATCACCAATTGACACCAACTAAAATGCCAAAACTCTATCTAGACAAATGGATGAGTGAATTTCGTGCCAAAATCCAAGACCTGTTGTAGTAAATCCTATCGGTTCGTCCAACGTCAACGTTTTTACATATGACTAATTAGGTTAGTCATTTATGTGTATCAAGCTGTTTTTTTTTTCAGTGATTTCTGATTACTCGAAAGTAACTGGTAATGTAGGAGTAAATTGTTTGTAAGAATGTGGACTAAGTAGAAAATAATCTGAATTGATTTGAATAATGTGGCATAGTGTTGACAACTTACAAACACTAATTTATTAAGGCGAAGTTCCTGATAAAGAACAGTCAGCTGTCTAGAAGAGTCACATAATGTGAGGGATATTCAACGTGGCAAAAAATCACTTCACAATAATTGATGGCTGATTTGAATCCTCCATGTCGTTCATTGAACACTATAACATACATCTGTTTATCAGTCTTAATTTAAACTGACCGTTTTCGTAAATCCAAACCGAAATCTTTATAAATAATCACATTCAGAATTACAACTTCAACACATAAATTGATCAAATGTTCGGTGAGATTATTTGATACTGCATGTTTAGAAATGATCGAAAACCCTATGTTTTCAATTTCAGTATGTAATAATAAAAATCGTTTGTCCCAGTATTGAGAGCAGTGCACACCCACGATCCCGCTCATGGGATTCGAACTCGGGACCTTCGGTCTCGCACGTGAACGCTTAACCTCTAGACTAATGAGCCGACATCCAATGCCTCATACTACGACAAAACCACTGTCCAGTGCTTCCAGGTTTTCAACGGTGGTCTAACATCAATCAATACATAATTTTAATCTCTACAACCTCATACTGATTGTTTGGTTATATTGTATACTTTGTATAACATAAACGCCTAAATGAATAGAACCACAATATTAGTAAATATTGACCATGTTTCAGATTAACTAAGGATCATTAACTATTCTATAGATTAGGTTCTTTTGATCAATTATTTTGAGTATATATAACTTAGTAACAATTTCTTTTCTTTTATATTTTCTGCTCTTCAAACTATCAATCAGATGGTTTATGGGATGTTGATAAACCGATACATGTGAAATTACAGCCTAATTCTAATGAACCAGTTATTGTAAGACGTATGTTAGTTGTTGCCGGTAAAATATGGTGTGCAGCGCATCGTTCAATATTTATTTTAAATCCCGCAACACTTACTTCAGAAGTTAGTCAATTTGTTCATTTGCTGGTGTTTTATTCAATGTTTAGTGTATGTTTAAATTACTGATAAAGTAATAATTTGAATAGGATCTGTCAGTAAATTTTGATGGAGTTTTGTTCTCTGAACTGAATGCTTTGGTCATGGAACTTTCATCGTTCTTCTGAACGACATCATCAGCACAAACTTCAATGAGAAGTGAAGTGTTTAGACTTCTCTGTATGTGGCTCATAGCTTATCATGTAGACCTTGATGTTGATTAGTTCTTGTTGCTTGTACATATCAGAAACCACAACGAGATTGTTGAAGTCTTTCGGAATAGGCGTAGCACACAAACCAAAAAAGTCACTACGATCAATTCTATGCAAACCAAGGGACGAAATGACAAAAGAAAAATAAACCGAACATCATCTACAAAATAAATTGTATCAACTGCGAAAAACACTGCATCGGACAAAGCGGACGCCCTCTTCATATTCGCCTGCATGAACATCAATTAGTGGTCAAACGCCATGACATGTCCTCATTTATATCAATGCATGTAGACAACTGCTGACACACATTCGACTGGGAAAATGTGGAGATCATGGATAGAGGAAATTTTAAGAACGCCAGAGAATTTTTAGAAGCTTGGCACTCAGGTCAATCACCAATCAACAAGCAAATTAAAATCAATCCAATTTACCAACTGATCAGAAAAATTATGGACAAACAGAGGACCAAAAATCAAACCAATAGGAGGTACAACCAAAATAAAGAATTAAACAATGACAGGTTTAAGGTCAGCGAGAACCAATCAACATCGAGGTCTACATGATAAGCTATGAGCCACATACAGAAAAATCCAAACACTTCACTTCTAACTGAAGTCTATGCTGATGATGTCGTTCAGAAGAACGATTAAAGCTCCACGACCAAAGCATCCAGCTCAGAGAACAAAACTCCATCCAAATCATTCACCTGAGTTACAAATATTTTCCAACACCTCTCAGTACAGTTGATTTATTAATGAATAAATTTTTGGCAGGCATGTAGATGGTGTTAAAATCCTCACTTACCTCAATATTCATACTGTGAACATATTCAAATTTATTACATAAATATGTCTATACAATACTAACCAGTTATCATTGCAACTTCAGTATATGAAGCCTGAATATCACGAACATACATACGGTACTGTGAGAAATGTTTTTGTTCAACTGTTAACTATAACCAATAGATACATACTTCTTTCTTCTTCTTCTTCTTTACGTCTGTTACTCCTCGTGGAGGAGCATAGGTTGTCCACCAGCACTCTTCATTCATACTGTGTATCTTAAGTTATATTTTGAGATTGTTCGAAATGTATTGCTTTGTATTTATCTTTCAGTCAATTTATTATTGATTTATTTACTTGCAAGCTTTTATTTTGTTCTTATTGACAAAAATACATTAGCTTTCATTCCCACTGAATGGTAATTATGCAGATCCACGTGGAATACAATTGATGGCTTATGGAAAACAAACTGTATGGTTAGCAACAGAAAATAGTTCACGTATTAGTTTATATCATGCTACAACAGGTGAATTTCTAATGGAGATTGATTTAAAGCCTATTGTACTTCAAAGGTTACAAGGTGAGATTTATGCTATCAATGCCTTTATTGTTTCTTTTTTTTGAAGTGTGGCAAAAAAGATCACACAAAAGGGATCAACTACCAAAAAGGAAAAAAAGCATACCATGTTATTTTCTCAAATGTCATATCAACATGCGTGCATAGATATGATAGTGTACTTTTTGTTGTTTTCATTACTTTTTGCAGTCTAGCATTAAGTGAAAATCAAACGTTTCGTTTTTTAACAGCTACAAAGTACAAAACGTTGTATAAATTGAAAGAATTCACTTGAAGTTGCTTAATTACTTACTGATCTACACCTGTTACCCCTCATGGAGGAGCATAGGCTGACCACCAGAATTCTCCATCCAACTTGGGTTAAACAGTCTTTTCCAGTTGTTATTCATTCGATTGATTTCTGCTTCTAATTCTCGACGCAGTGTGTTCCTTGGTCTTCCTCTTTTCCGTTTAACTTCAGGATTCCAAGTTTGCGCTTGTTTCGTGATGTAGTTTGGTGATCTCTGTAATGTATGTCCTATCCATTTCCATTGTCCTTTCTAATTTTCTCTTCATTTAGAAGCTGGTTTGTTCTCTCCCACAGTAGTTGTTGCTGATGGTATGATGAACTTACCTGGATCCTAATGTTGTACGTCACAGTGAGACTCAACACCACTAAATTTTGCTTCAAACAGCAACGTGTTATGCACTCAGCTACTGAGTTTAAATAATTATCCATTTGTTTAATGGGTATGATCTGTATAATATTATCATGAAGGGATTGAATTAGCTCGTTGTTGATATTCAGGACTACTTCTTGAACAAAATAGTGGTTATTTAGACTTCGAAGCTATCAACGTTTATATCGACAGTTTTTAGGTTCTAGGCTCATTGAGAACATTGATACTGACATGCAGATATATATCCAGCTTACTCGATGCTAATAGAAGTTAACATGATTCATAAATTCCAATGTTAGCAAAACACACTTACTCTGTAGCGCAGTGAATACTTTCTAACTCTAATAAACGCGTTAAATTCTTCATTGCAGTGAATATTCTGATTGAAATAGTATCTAATTTTTTCATATAATAAAATTCAACATCAAATCTTGTAACTTTCAGAAACCCCAAATAACGTATATTTCAAGAGAGATAGATCTTGGAGTTCATTTAAATACTATCACCTTTGAAATACAATCCTATTTTGTATTTTACTTATCATTCCATTTCAATGAGTGAATATTAGAGTCTCTTTAGGTTGAGATACTTTCCAGAGCTTTTCATTGTCATAATTTGACATAATATTTTTCTAACAGGTGAGAAGTCGTAATCAAGGAATATCTTTAGTGAACAAAACATTGAATTTTATCTAAATTGATTGGTAGATTTATTAACATTGAATCGACAAATTTCTAATGTAACCCTAAAGTATTTTTATCTGGTGATAACCAGTATATTAAAAGAGAAATTTGTGTACCTATTTCAGAATAAAAATTATGTTCAATTACACATATTGAATAGGTTATATTTACTTAGTATCAACTTTAATTAAGTTTGTTTCAATAGAGATGAAGATCGCATTCTTTGACTAGTAACCAAGCTTTAGTGATGAGCTAAATCCAAAATGAGGATCCACAGCACTAGTACCATGCAAAACGGACATTAGTAATTGTTTTGTAAAATCATTGTAAGCCTTTATAACATGCACTAGAATTCACTATACATTTTAGTGAACATAATGGGCTGATCTCATCCAGACAAACATTAAAAAAGAGAGTTTTGAATAGCTATTTCATCTGTGTATAGGACTTTCCGGTGATGTACATCTACTAAATCATCAGGGATCAAATCCAAGACCCTTTGGTCTCGAGCTGAATGCTCAACCTTTAAACAAATAAGGAAATATCCAATGGTCTAAATGCCTATTACCAGTCAATCCGTGATAGTCACCACTCATTTTTCAATGTCAATGTAGTGCGACTGCCTCATACCAGATATGGTTTAACTCCAGCATTCATGTTGACAGGAAAAAACACTTTAGTTGTGCAATAATGTTTAAATGGGCTTAGGGTATTTTAAATGTTCATGAGTAGCACCAACATTAATTTCATATAAGCATTCTGACATTTTCTACAGTGTGCCTGTCCTTAGCTAAAATCACCTTATTTCACTGAACTTATTCATCTTTTTGGTTCAGTTATCAGAAGGAGTCTCAGTGTATTCAGGAACTCGATCATGTCTTCTTGTGACCTACTATGGTTAAATATTTAGAAAGATGTTTAAAGGTAGCTTTACATAACCGAATGAAACATTAAGTGATGTCACTGATTCCCTGACTGAAACTGATGAAGCGAAACCAACTCGCCCATATTTCGTGACTAAGACAACTTAAACTGAAAAATTACATCATCCATAAAGTGATGATAACTAATGTTGAAAGTAAGTTCAGGTTGTGGTAAAACAAAAACTAGGTTCTATATACTAACCATATAGCACATTCTACGGACTTCTCTATATCACTAAGTTGCTATTCAGCTCTTCACTTCAACCTAATTAGAAGTTATTTTGCTTTACTTCCTTGTGGATGTTAGGTATTCATTTCAACTTATTAACTCCTGATTCAAATTTTATGTTTCCACTCTAAATTCCTTAATACAAATTGCTTAAATCTACATTTTATTAGATTGTGATGAAATTATCATGAGACATAAAGAAGCTTGTCTAAGAATCACATGTTTAACAGTATGCAAAGATTTATTGTGGGCTGGAACGAGTGCAGGAGTTATTGTCACTGTTGCAATACCGAAGCTCGGTACAGGACCTACACACGAGAACATTAAACAACCTCAGTTAGAGAGTAAGCCGGAATATTACTTTTTAGTCCAAATGTGTATTTTTGTGTGTTTTGTGCGGAGAGATACAGTAAATGTTTTTCTGATCATAAATCATGAATTATCATTTCGATTACGGACTGATCAAAAAAGAAATATTTCGGTGAGACTATAATTTATGGACGATCTTTGAGCGAAGCTAAAGAGACCTTGAGAATGTCCACCTACGTACTACGGCTAAATGAGGGTCATAAACCAGTTTGAGGAATTAGGATTAATATATACAGTTGATAGTTAGGGTTAGGAATCAGATATAGGGTTTTCATAACGAATTGACATCAGCTTTAATGCCAAAATTCTATTTAGCCAAATGAATGATTGAATTCCGCTCCAAAATTCAATATGATTGGTTCGTCCATAAATTATAGTCTCGTATATATTTCTTATCAATATTGGCAGCTTACAGAATAACAAAAAATACCTATTTCTTGATGTTAATATGTATTAGGTCTGACCAATTCATAACCGCCCATCTTAGAGATGAATATGAATCAGATATAATTGAAAAGTAATACTTGCAAACTATCTAAAAGCTCAGTAAATCAAAATTACTTGAAGACAATTTTTTTCAAATCCCCAGTAGACATACATAACGTATAAATCAAAATAAGCTGAAATAAGAATGATTCTCCCCCCCCCAATGATAGTTATTAACAATCCTAGTTAGTTTTGGCCTTATTGAACTTGCGATTTGTGTGCCACTGGGTTCAAACACTGACTGGTTTGTATCTAGATTTACATGAACATGAAGTTTATAGGTTATACGCCGTATTTATGTATTCCTGAGTAGTTACATGGTACAATATTGGAATTTCTAATAGAAGTTAAAACACAAAACTGTATTTCATTTACTAGTGAGATGTTTTAGCAGTGTATATTCACAAACACGTATATAACCAAATTTAGCATATTCAGCTGATATAAATTTATATATAGCTTTTAAATGGTTAGTTGAAATTCACCATTTTCACTTTTCAATCATAGTCAGTTGACGATGTAATTTGTGTTTAGAAATGATTATATGATAAATATAACACTAATCCTGTGTGGTTTGTATGGACTACATATAAAGTTATTTACACTATGATAACAATCATAGAAGGAATAATTATTTACTTTTATAAAGGTAATTTATTAAGAATATTTTAGTTTGAAAGAAATACACGTCACAGAATGATCTTAGTTGTCTAGTATACCCTGGTTACCATTGATAATCCGTCTGAGATCAATCAATTGTATTAAATTGAACTACATTCTAAGTTTGTAATGTTATTACATTTTATTTTTACTTTTCTCAGCTTTATCATATGGACATATTGGACAAGTTCGATTCCTTGTAACTTTGGATAATATAGCAGATGATGAAAATTCAATAACATGTAAAAATGAAAAAATAAATACATCTAATCAATCAATATACATATCAAATTCAGCAATGACCCCATTTTCTGATAAAGTAACATCATCGGATAATAATGAAACAAACACATCATCTCATTTAGTTAGTTCTAGTCGAACAACTGATCATAGTCAATCTGGTCAATTATCTAGACATCATTTTAGTGGTAGTCGTAGATCATCAATAAATCCATGTACTACTATTAATACAAAAATGAAAGTGATTAGCGGTGGTGAAGGACGTGAAGAATTTAGTAAAAAAGATTTAACAACATTGGGAATATATGATAATAATCTTTGTTGTACTATTGGTGATGATGACAGTGACAATTATGTTCTTATTTGGGATGTGAAATAACTATGCATATTATATAACATATAGAAAACAAAAAAAAACATTGTTAAAAAGATAATTGCTATTCCATGACTGTATGGCAAGTTTGTTCTAGAAGCTCATATTCGAAAGATACTACTTTCAAATGAAAGCAAATCGAACTACTGTAAATTATCATCCATAGTAGACATTTATAAAACCTATTCATTGTTTTATGGAATATATATATATATATATATATATATCCAAAACTCATGTATACTAACCGAATATCCCATTTTTTTTCTAATTAAAACTTTAATCGTACGTTTTTCTTCTCTTCATCTTAGTATCTGAATAATAATAGACATCATGATATCTAAACTAGTCATCGTAAATAATAAGTAAACTGTCACGAAATATATAGCTTAATACAATAGATATCAGTAGTAAGTGAAATAAATGTTGAAGAAAGACTGGTGAGACTATAATCTATGGACGACCTTTAAGCAACACTGAAGTGACCTTGAGAGTGGATACCTACTCATTAGGATTAAATGAAGATTATAAACTAGTTAGAATTATGATTTACAGTTCATGGTTAAGGTTAAAAATTAGATTTAGAATTTTCATTATCAAATGACATCAACTATAATATCAAAATTCTATTTAGTCAAATGTATGAATGAGTTTCGTGCCAAAACTCATACTTACTTACTTACGCCTGTTACTCCTAATGGAGCATAGGCCACCGACCAGCATTCTCCAATCCATTCTGCCCTGGGCCTTCCTTTCTAATTCCATCCAATCCTTGTTCATTTTTCTCATGTCTATCTCCATTTCTCGGCGTAATGTATCCTTTGGTCTTCCTCTTTTCCTTTGGCCTTGAGGATTCCATGTGAGGGCTTGTCTTGTGACGCTCAAAACTCGTAACTCGTTGTTTTATACGCGATTTGTTCGTCCATAAATTATAGTCTCACCATCTACTTACATTCACTATGTATATACATATGTTTCTTTATTTTCTTTCATCATTATAGTGAATGTTTATTTTTCTAATATAACATTTTCATGTATACAGATTGATAAAATATTCATAACTCTATGACGACAATGAACCAACATGCAAACAGCTGAATTCAAACTTAGATAAAATAAAATAGATTGATCAGTCGATAAAAATATATTTGTAGTGTAGCGGTAAATAAATCCCAAAAATAAATAGCTCCGTAAGTCTTCGACATTGGATGCTGAACACATTAGTTTTAATGGACTCAGCTAGCTGAAGGCGCTCGGTCATGCATACGCACCAGATCACGAGTGGGAACGCCATGCTCAACATCCCCTGCGATCGGTAGCCAGATTAGATCAGACGATCCTCAATATATTGATAACCTAATAAATATATCTTCGAACCTTCTCGCTTCTGTCTTTTGATTTCACTTGATGGGTACGTTTCATAATAGATGTTACTGGTTAAAGCGTTGTCAAACTCCGAGTACCTGTGGCCTCTTCAGTAGCTAGTACTATGAGAAAAGGTTTTTCACTTTAGTTTCTTGCTCTAAATTTAAATAAATTCATAATCTGACAGAATCAGATAATATCAGTTTAAAGATAACTAAAGTCCCTAGAAGGAAAATGAAAACCTAGGAGGAATAAAATATAATTTGAACAGAATAATTTACTTGATCATATTAAGCGAATTCAAATTAATGTACTAACTAAGAATTCTTAAAATAGTGCAGTTTGAGAAAGGTGGAACTATATGAGTATACGTGAAAGTATTATATTTGTAATTCGTAATAAGTGCTCAATCAAGTATAAAGGAATCATTAGTTCGTATGAATGACACAACCACTAAAGATTAAATAAGAATCCAAGTTTCTGTATTCGATTTTACTTCTCCTTAGGTTCATCATGTGTTTCTTCTGACTGTGTATTGTATGTAAACTCTATATAATGTAGAATGTACTCAATGGGATGGGCTCTCCTGGGTTCATATAAAGAACTCGGTTCTTGTGACTGGCTTCCATATGAACCATAGATTTATTGAACTGTTTTAGTGGGTCATGTAAAAACAGTCAGGTTATTCAGCCAATAAGTGAAAAGGTAAAAATGAGAATAAATTGGTCTGTCCAGAAGCTAGAATAGTCTGTGTAGGCTTGAAATAGTATCTGCCACTACAAAGCTCCCCTGTAGAAAATGCGCATGATAACAAAAACTAATTACAAAATAAGTCTACGTTAACCATCTTCACAAGCTGTCACTTACTTTAAATTTTCCCAGCGTTCATATGAAATCTGATCTTTTTTTTCCATATTTGTACCTTGGAAACATGACTGGAAATCCATGTCCACTATTGCCATTGACAACTAATTTGAACATTCCGTTATTGTGTCAAGTAAATAAGGAAACAACTATCATTGACTAAACGTTGTTTGTTTTGTCAGTTGAATGTTTGTCAACTACTCCAGGGAACATTATGTACATTTCGATATTTCAGTATTACTGAAAGAAGTTTGAGACACTTGCAGTGCCAGTTGTACGGCTAGTGAAATATTACAGCTCCTGCCAACTTACCCGGTAGTCAGGTTATTGATTATAAGGCAGTTTACCGATCCTGGTTTTGGTCAAGGACAACCAACGTGCATCAATCAGTTGCACTCCATTGACTGGTCCATGCTTCAGTGGTCACACTTTGTCTCTTGTGCCCATTCTTACTAATACATTTCTGTTATGGCGTCTTTTGTCTTGTATGGTCATCAAAGTAGCCATAGTACATGGATACGACGAAAGGGTAATCCATGTTAGGTACCAACAGTGAGGTGTGATCTAGACGTCAACTGGTTGGTCACGCCATTCCCGTCAAACCCAAGTAGGCCCCTGACCATTCGATACAGAAGTATAACCATGGAGAAGAAGAATCCTAACTAATGATTTTAGGTTTGATACGGTTTATTTGGCTACAGGGAGATTTTCTAGACCTTGTCATTGATTAACTGCGATAGAATTGAGTAACACTATTAATACATGTGACCTGTTATCGAAAATTCATTAAATACGTGAAAAAACCGTCAGACGGGAAGCTGATGGTAGTTGGTTGAACGTGGGTGCATTCATGAGAAACATGCTCTAGTCTCAATGTTCTGATGTGCTATGAATCCCTCATTTATATTCATACATACTGGTTGATGATGTATACAAGGCAGTTGCAAGTATCATGTTTGGGATAATTTAGACATCGACTTCTATGAACTTGTGTGATAATAATATGTTGAAATCGATAAGCTTATGAGTCACAAATAACGATAACATGGTGTCGTACAATGCTTTTGGTTAAACAAATCTCTACAACATTGAAGTGGTTAAGCAATCCTCAAAAAAAATAGTTCCGTAAGTCTTTGACATTTTATACTGACCCCATTAGTTTTACTCGACACACTTAGCTGAAGGTGCTCAGTCACGCATTCACATCAGATCACAAGTAAGTCGTGATACACATCTTTTACAACGGTTAGCCCACTTAGAACATACGCTTCTCGACATATCGATGGCCTTCCAAATGCACCTTCGAACCATTTCATTTCTGTCTTCTGATTTGACTGGGTTGACACACTTTGATTCTAAAGGTGTTACGAGTAAAAGGGTTGTCAAACTCCGGATACCTAAAGCTTGAGCCAAATCTGGGAATGGCAACTTTTTTTCACGTGTTTTAGGTTTATTTCGACTTTTTAATTTATTACCTACTTACTTACTCCATACATTTGTAGTGACTCTTTTTTATAACGAGAACACGATTGTTTTATTGAAAACAATTATTATTATAACCAATTGCACCAGTGACTGTTTAATATGCTCTTTGTTTAACTGTGCTAAAAACACCGTTATTCTTACACTTTGCTTGTGATCTCGTGCGAATTCGGTTACGCTCTGTAACCAAGCTTGTATCCTTGGCACGATCTCGGTATTCTTTCGATACCACGAGATCACTAGCAAATATATCTCGACTTGGTCCATTAACTGCCTTCTTCATTTGGCTTCTGAGAGATTTTATGGATTTATTTGGTACGTGTTTCTCTGTAGTGGTGTTCATAGTCATCGCGACTCGACGCCACGCTACACATTATGACGATCTTCACGTTCGTACTGAGGATCCTAACTTGATGATGGTTGACAGTTTTTTTAGTTTCATATGTTTTTCAACTGTAGGTATGCTGTCCCTACTTTTCCCATCCCTCACCTTCACATCTGCATTAGGTCGTTCACGTTCATGGATGATACTGTCCAAGCACGTGAAGCTTTCCACATTTTACAGAGCTTCTACATCAAGTGTGGTTGGGTTGGTGTTCGCCATACTGTACACGGGGATCTTTCTTTATCATTTGCATATGTTGAGGCCCGCTGATACAGAAACCTCTGCTACACTGTTTGTCCTGACCTACATTTGTTAATGTGTATTGGATGGAAGAGCCAGGTCATCTGAGAAGTCCAGGTCATCCGGCTGCACCCAACCTTTCCATTTTATTTTATGCCTCACCTCAGATGTCGAGGACTTCATATTCCAGTCAACCACCGGAAGAAACAAAAGGGTGAGAGTAAGCAGCCTTGTCTATGGTCCTTACATTGGGATGCGTCTTTCAGCAAAAGTACAGATATAGTGGATTGTTACAGGAAAACTGAAGACATTTGGCGGATTTAGACCGCTTCATTGTATATTAATAATTTACTGTTTTTGGATGTACTTGTTTTACTTCTGGTTTGTTTGTTTATACCATTATTTCGGATATCTTGGTTTCCCTTTGTCGTTGGTTTGGTATTTGATAATTTTGCTCCGGGAACCTACAAAATTGAAGGTTCGTTTTGTAATTTTTATAATTATTGTTGTTAGAACGACATTTCCCGATCGAAGCTGCTACCTTGACGCGGTGGTCGGGCTTGCCTATCGTGATGACCCAACCGAGCTATATTGGCTGGAACATTTGTTCCTGTAGGTTCTACCATGCCAGGCAGGTCGATTGGTGAACGGTAAGACTAAAAGCAGCAACTCAAGGTCTGAGGGCGAAGTCGTACTGCTGACTGTAGAGGGGTGTGACAGCAGTAAGGTGTTTCCTTCGGACAACCAGCATGACAGCGATGCTGCCTTCCCACAAGGAGGGGTGGGGTTAGAAAAGGTCGACCCTAAAAATGTCACACCTCACCTTACCTCACGGACTTCCGTCTCCGGCGGTAAGGCCCTTTGAAGAACGGAGCTAACACATTAAAAACCTTCCACAAAAAGGCCGTGCGCGACCGGCCTCAAGCAGTTGTCTCTTGGGCTCTGCGGTCACGCTCCCAGGTCGTTAAGACCAACACTAATCCAATTTCCTTTTCAGGTTCCTCAAGAAATACCCTTCCACGGTGTGGGCAGCCGGGAAGTGATATCAGCCCTCATACCCGTAACAACACACGAGACCAAGTTGGTCACATTCAAATCCTTCCTACACCTCCTAATACCTCTCTTATCTCCATGACTAACCCTCCTCACGTCTCTTTATCACCTCGCACCGCTAGGGCAAACGATTTGAGTACGTGGAACGCCATTCCTGGTCTCCTGAAACCACGCTCTAAACTACACGTAGGAGCTTTTAACGTACGAACACTTTGCCAAATAGGACAGCAGGCTTCCTTAGCTAGGACTTTAGAATCTCGCGCCATCGATGTGTGCTGCGTCTCCGAAACGCGCATACAGGATCCGAGTGGCGTCATTCATTCGACATCACCATGTCAAAATAAGGAACCGACTCGATTCACACTTCGTGTATCTAGAAGCCCTGATTCTACTTACCGTGGCCTCGCCGGCGTAGGTATGGCATTGAGTCCTAGGGCAGAACTAGCTCTCTTAGAGTGGATCCCAGTAGACAGTCGTTTGTGCGCTGTCCGACTAAACGGAACAGTAAGGATCCGAAAAGATAGGGACACTCGTCGTTGCCTCTTCGTCGTCTCTACCTATTCTCCCACTGACTGCAGCGCAGATGATGTAAAAGATGAGTTTTACAGAAAGCTCTCCGACCTCCTCCTAAAAGCTAGGCGCTCGGATGTAGTAATAGTGGCCGGTGACTCTAATGCTCAAGTAGGTAAACTTAGCGATAGGGAAAGACACCTAGGTGGATCTTATGGTGTCGTGGCTCAAAGAACAGATAATGGCGACCGTCTGTTGCAGCTATGCTCAGATAACCGCCTGTTCCTTGCAAATACTAACTTTAAGCATAAGGAAAAAAATATTTTAGCATGGCGACCTCCTAATTCGTCCCAATGTTGGACCCAAATAGATCACATCGCTATCAGCCATCGATGGAGGGGCTCGATAGAAGACTGTCGCTCATTCTGGAGTACATGCTTAGATTCAGATCATGCCCTAGTGCGAGCGCGTATTCGCCTGCGTCTTACTGGACGTAGGAAAGACGCTGCAAGGAAACCTCTTAGGGCCCTACTTAATGATAGTCAAGCTAAGAGTATATTTCAGGAACAACTAGGAAAACAGTTACGCAGCCATGTATGTGATGCCCACCTTGAGGCAGCATGGAATGATATCCGAAAAGCTGTAGAAACAGCAGTGATATCTGCTAGTAAGGTAAACCACAAGGTTAGGGAGAAACACTGGATCTCAGCAGCATCTATCGCACTGATAGATGCTCGGAAACTCATTCCACCTGGCTCTGAACATAATGAAGAGCGGAGTCAGCTTAAGCGCAAGCTGACAAGAAGTCTACGCAATCATCGTGAACAGTGGTGGGTAGCGAAAGCAAGAGAGATGGAAAAGGCAGCGGCAATAGGTAATAGCAGACAATTGTTCAGACTCGTTAAGGAAACCGGAATTAGGAAACCGACTGTTAGCGAAACAATCTCAGAGAAAGATGGACAGTTTGACGGACGAACTTTCCACACAATCTTCAATAGTTTCATCCGTCCCCATTTAGAGTACGGAAACATAGTACTCCCTCCCTCACTCCAGAAGGACAAGGTCACTTTGGAGCGTATCCAACGGCGAGCCACGAAATCAGTTCGAGGACTCAAATCTAAGCCTTACGAAGAACGCCTCCGTTCACTAGACCTTTACCCACTAGAATATAGGCGTCTTAGAGGTGATTTACTAATGGCTTACAGTATTCTTAACACTTCTGGACATCCTCTTAAACACCTACTTAAGCTTAGTTCGAATAATAACTTAAGGGGTAACACCCAGAAACTGGAAACACAACATGGCAAGACGGAATGTAGACACAACTTCTACTCCTTAAGAGTTGTCAAAAGCTGGAATTCGCTGCCGGCCGAGCTAGTCCAAGCGACTTCTCAGGAGTCCTTCAAGAGGCAACTTGACCTATTCTTAAGGACCAAGGACAGCATCACATTATGATTTACCAATTTCTTTTCCTTTTTATTGTTAACATACCTAGGTTCCTGCCTGGAGGATTTGGTGATCCCCTGCTACTAGACACGGAAGCCTGTTAAGCGAAAGCTTCTTCTATTCCGTCCACAACCATTTGAACCATTTGAACCATTTTATACATTCTCAATCCAGGAGATTGGATCGATGGGCAGAACACTTCAGGGATCATTTCAACTGGCCTTCAGCCACACTTCGGTTTCCCACGATCTCCAGTCAACCTGAATGGCAAGTTAATGTAGGTCCTCCGTCTCTTTACGAAGTTGAGAAAGCCTTAAGAAATCTGAAGCGAGGGAGAGCAGCAGGCCCTGACAGGTTTACTCCTGAGATTTTTGAGGATGGTGGTCCAGTATTAGCAATGAGATTAACGGAGGTCTTAGGTAGAATTTGGGAACTGGACGTAATCCCATCTGACTGGTCTCAATCACTGATTGTGCCAGTTTATAAGAAAGGACAAAAGTCCTCTTGTGACAATCACAGAGGAATCAGTTTGACTAATATAGTGTCTAAAATAATAATAATAATAATAATAATAATAATAGTTTATTCTCAAATAACAGTTTGTTACATGAGGCATGCCAGTTTACAGGCAAGATCAAATTGATACAAATGATACAATATTCACTGTAGTAAATTACATAGCTGGGTTGATAATTTATGAGATATGAATGTAGATGGTTTTAAGCAGTTCTACAGTTAGCGCGCTTCATGAAAGTTGCGTTGCAAATGTGCGACTGGTGGTCAAGGATAGGTCCATTGAAGGTATGAGCTTCTAGAAATCGCAACCTTATGTCCCTTTAGAATATCCAAGGCTTTAAGGATGGTGCAGGATGAAGTCACCCGTTCCATATCTCAAGGGGGCTGAAAGAGGGAGCAAGTAAAAGAAAACACGAGGGGCAGAGTAGCCAACATTCATGAAGGAATGTTCAAGGTATGATTACTCAGTCTAATTTTCTTTTATTAAGGTATTTGTTAAGAAATCGCATTTTAATAGGTTAAAGAAAATAAGTGATAACAAGGTGTGAGTGGACATACAACTGACAAATGGAGGCGATTCGTAAAGGAGCTGAAAGTATGGGATTATTTGTGATTATAAAATAAAATCTAGTGCTAGAAACAGTATTGTGATATACAATTGGCTATCTTCCTTTTATTATCGAAGCTATTAGAGCCCCTTTCGTTTTTTTTGTATTATTATTTTTTTCAGGTATTATAGGGTCTTGAGTAGGCTTCGTATATTAGCGAATTGTCTAGTTTGCTTGTAATAGGATTTCTGGGTAGGAAGTGAAACCAATTCAACGTTCGTAACACGATTTAAAGAGGTATTTTGCGTGATAAATCAGCATCAATACCATAAGTTCGTGACATCCCACTAAAACATAAGGAGCCGTAATTAAACAAAATGTTCTGCCCTACAGACATGGGTGGATTGAAGTTATCTCCCCACCTTCATGTTTGCTGGTCAGTAACGCCACCCTCCCTCCTTTTGTGATGTTAGGCTCTCTTACGTTTGTGGTAAGTATGAATACTGCTTTAATCAAAGCCCATAGTTGGAATACACTGTCTCTACTAGGTCCATGTTACAAGCAAATCAGATAGTTGAAAAGTCTTTTTTGGGGGTTAGATGTCCATATAGTATATCACACTACTATGAAAATAACTAATGGTTTAAAGAAGTAAGGACTAATAGCAAATCAAAAGATATGAGAGGGTATAAAATTGTAGAAAGAAAAAAAAGATTTCAGGGTAAGACAAATAAAACATTGAGAAACTCACAAGACTTTGTGGCCAAATTTTGAGCTTTGTATGATCGGCCTTAGTAGATCAGCATCCATAAGGTTGAGCTATCTGTCTAATTGCAGTAGAAAAAAAAAGCATGACTTTTAGGAAGAATAATGTACATTTAACCTGTAGAGATTTGGGGACTGAAAGCTAGGGTTAGGAGCATGAAGTCATGATTAATAAACAATGAATAATAGGAAAGGATAGGCCATATATTCTGTGATTTGGTTATATTCATATTAGTAACAGTCGAACGTGTTATAATTTTGTTCTTTCTAGACACTAGGCGGTCCGTAATAAAGTGCCTCCTTGGTGGGCGGGAGTTCAAGGAAATGTTGAAGCTCTTTGGAGTCTAGAAATAGGGTTATTAGCTTTTTGAATCTGGTAAACGTATCACAGTTACGGATAGGCATTGGCAGCCTGTTCCACAATAAACTGTACCGTACTGTAAAAAACTTACAACGCATTTGTTTTTGGTGTTTTACGGTAAGTAGTGTATATGCGTTGTTTCTAAGTCTATAGGCTGGGTCGTGGGTGATAGTCGGGCAGGAGGTTAGAAAGGAGAGCCCATATATCGCTTTGTAGAGAAATATTAAATTGTTTTTTAGCCTACGGTGCCATAAAGGTTCTAAAGATAGATGCTTACATCTTTCTGTGTAATCGAGATTCGAGTTACATCCTAGTAGTTGACGTGTGAAACGTCTTTGAACATCTTCTACTCTTATCTTGTCTGCGATATTCATATTAGAGAAGACAAAAGAGCAGTATTCAAGGGAGGGTCGTACACATATTTTGTAGAGAGTAAGTTTACCCTCTGTTGTGAAAAAGTTTTTCATTATAAAACCAATTAGCCGTCTAGATTTAGAAATAATAGAGGAGGCATGTTCTTCAAAGTTTAGGCTTCCTGTGTAATTAATTCCTAAATCGTGTACTGATTCGAATGTTTGGACTCTACATTCATTTAAGTGAAGTCGCGGTTTATAGGGATGCTTTCCAAAGTGCATGATCCCGCACTTGTTGAGGTTAAATGGTAATTGCCATTTTTCACTCCATATAGTTAAGTTATTGAGGTCCTTTTGGATCTGGGATACACTTTCGCTTAGTGTCTCAGGCTTATAGCTGTATACTATTTTGAGATCATCAGCATATAAGTATGGTTTCCCAAATTCTATGGTGTTACATATATCGTTTATATACATAAGAAACAAAAGTGGACCTAATACGCTTCCCTGGATGACTCCACTGGTGATTGGTCTAGGGGACGAGAGACAGTCATTGTACTTTACCATCTGTTTACGTTCTGTTAAGAACGAAGCAAACCATGAGTACAGTGGGTTGTGTATTCCGAAGGACTTTAGTTTGACGAGTAGCCTTTTGTGTGGGACCTTATCAAAGGCTTTCTTAAAGTCAAGGAATAGGACTGATACAAGGAGTCCGCTGTCTCGTTTCAGAGTTATATCATTCAGGTAGTCTACTAGGCATGTATCGCATGATCTGGACCTAAGAAATCCATGCTGGGAGGTCGAGATGAGATTATTAGTTAGTAGATGTTGGACTACAGCCGCCTTAACTACTTTTTCCATCACTCTGGATACCACTGAAGTTATGTTTATAGGCCGGTAATTTTCAACGTTTGCTTCAGGTCCTGTTTTAATTTTGGGAATGATATGTGTAGTTTTCCAGGCAGTAGGGTAACACGCTGAAGAGAGTGATATCGCGAATAGTTTGAGAAGCAAAACACACATATCATCACCTCCACGTTTTAGCATGCTAGATGGGATACCATCTGGTCCATCAGTGTAGGAGTGTTTCAATGTACTGATTGCCTTGGAGATATTTTGTACACTGAATTCTACATTTGTAATTTCACAGGGAGTTACTGGGATTGGTTCTGAATCATTAAATGGTTTTTCGTTAGTTAGTGAGAAACAAAAATGTTCACTAAATAATTCTGTGATAAGTTTGGGATCTTCGTATACTTGTTTGCCTTTAATGAATATACTCCCTCTCGATTTAGAGCGTTTAAGTTTATTTTGGAGTAGCTTCAATAATACTTCGACGCCTAATCAAAGCTCGTGAAGAGCTGATTAGAGAAACCAGGCCGGTTTTCGACCTGGACGTGGTCGTATAGATCAGATATTCACACTGCGTCAGGTTCTAGAACACAGACAAACATTCAGACGCCCAACAATGGTAGTATTTCTCGACCTTAAGGCGGCATTCGACTCTGTTGATCGTGAGGTTCTATGGCAGTGTTTGTCACTGAAAGGAGTACCAAAGAAGTACATTAACCTTATAAAGGCTCTCTACTCGAACATAACCGGTAGAGTGAGAGCTTATGGCGAACTGTCATCAGAATTGATTACCTCAAGTGATGTTCGTCAGGGCTGTCCACTCTCCCCATTCTCGTTCAACTTTGTCATTGACGTACTTTTAGAGATAACACTCTCCTCATCTAAATTTCCAGGGGTTGAACTTCTACCAGGAGGTTCACTTGTTGACTTAGAATATGCTGATGACATAGTTTTATTTGGTGAAGACGCTGACAAAATGCAGAGTCTTCTGACCACTCTAAGCAACAATGCAAGCATGTTCGGGATGCGATTCTCTCCCTCGAAATGCAAAATGTTGCTTCAGGATTGGGTTACATCGACACCCGAACTAGTGATAGGAGTGAGGTAGTTGAGCGTGTCGACCGCTTCACTTATCTTGGAAGTCTCATCAGCCCTTGTGGTTTAGTGTGTGACGAAATCTCAGCACGGATACAGAAGGCTCGACTAGCTTTTGCTAACTTGCGTCATTTATGGCGTAGGCGAGATATCCGTCTATCAACCAAAGGATGGGTTTACTGCGCAGCAGTTCGTTCTGTCCTACTTTATGGCAGTGAAACATGGCCGGTAAGAGTAGAGGATATTCGTAGGTTACTAGTATTTGATCATAGGTGTCTTCGAAATATTGCTCGTATATCGTGGGACCATCGAGTAAGTAATGCAGTTGTTAGGAAACGGGTACTAGGTAAGGATGGCAAATCAATTGATGAAGTAGTGAAACTTCATCAGTTGAGATGGTTGGGACACGTGTTACGTATGCCCAACGGCCGACTGCCTCGACGTGCTATGTTCAGTGGTATAGGAGTAGGTTGGAAGAAAGCTAGGGCGGCCTAACCAAAACATGGCACAAGTCCATGAAGTCACTGACAAGTGGACTGAGTCATGTTGGTAGGTGTAGACTACCTGGTTGGGGACCGCGAGATGATAGCAACCGATGGTTATAGACCCTGAATGACATGGCTCAAAATCGTTTGCAATGGTGCAGGTGCATCCACTCTCTGTGTTCTCCCAAATTCTAATCTTCTGAATTCATCATGTCTCTTTCTTTTTTCTCTTTCCAAATTTATTTCACTGGACTATACTCTTTAAATAACATCTCCAAACCCTAATCTTCCCGATTACTGCTTATATTCTTGCTACCTCTACCACCGCGGGATTTGAGTCGACAACTGCATCTCTGTGCTAATGTGTTGTGGCAACTCGAACTGATGTACATATGTACGAAGTTCTACTTTGTTACTGACTGACTGAGAACGACATTTATTCGACTATTTGTGAATCGCGAATAAATTTGGTATCTAAATTGGAGTTTGGTTCTGTTGTTAATTTGGGTCCGTAATTTGCAAGTAGATCGCTAGTCCGTACCTCAATAACTGGAACGAGCGAAACTTGGACGTAACAGGATAATGTACAAAAAATTAAATGCACGAAATCTATAGGACTTTAAATGTCAATAAAGGACGTGTTTGAACTTTGGGTTTCATAATCTACAATTATAAAAAGTGATCAATAATCCCGAACACGATACAATATAACCCGGAATAATCACACAACTGGAATACAAATGTAGATATCAAGCATATTGAGGATCTATTAGTGCGACAGTTGACCAAGTGGGAACGAGAATCATATGCATTTTTAAACCATAATCAAGGTGTTGTAGTGACTTACTTTTATCACGAGAATACTATTGGTTTAATGAAAACAATTGTTATTTTAACCAGTTGTACCGGTGATCGTTTTACTGTGCTCGTTTGTTTAACTGTACTAATGACAGACATATTACTGCTTCATTATCTTTCGGTTGTGACCTTGCACGAATTCGGTTACGCTCAGTAACCACACTTGTACTCCTTTGGCATGATCTCGGTATTCTTTCGATACCACGAGATCGCCAACAAATACATCTCAACTGCAGCCATCAACTGCCTTCTGATATTCGGCCTACGGGTGATTTTATCGGTTAACTAGCACATATTTCTCAGTAACGGTGTTCATATTCTACCACGACTCGACACCACGCTACAGTTTAATGGCGGCAGAGGTAAAGCCCGTAATGGAAGGTCAGGGTGGTACAGATTTGTACGGATTCTAAAAATTTATGTGAAATTCCAAACCATGTGAATAATGACAAAATTTACTTACACAATGGGTCTATGTTACCATTTCCACAAGCCACTCCCCACACACAGCTTTTTGGTGTCGTCCGTCGTAATAATTCCGCATGATGTTGACGATTTTCTCGGGTTCATCATGGTGTCGAAGAAAATTTATAAAGCGTAACCCTATCCACATTTTCCAATGCTTTTTCGTAATCAAGGAAGTTGATGTATGGTGACGCGTTTTACTCAACTAATTGTTCAATAATGATTCGTGATATCGCGTTTTGGTCAGTTCATGACCGATCCTCACGGAATCCGGTCTGTTGATCTCAAAGTTGGAGGTCTATTGAATCTTTCACATGGTTCAGAGACACTGTGATGAAAACATTTTCTGGTACCGATGGTAGTGTGATTCCTCCACACTTCGCACATTCGGCCAAGTCTCCTTTCTGTGGTATTTTGATGAGGTATCCTTCTTTCCAGTCTGTCGGGACTTATTTGTTCATTTGTGAGGTGTATAATACTGGAATTATCATTCTGTCTTGCGTATTGGGTACATTTTTAATCCGTAAAAATAAATTTTAATGGTACTTCACAATTGATACATACCACGAACCTCTGTAGAACTATGGTCTACTATGATATTAGTACTGCTCTAATAATAGACCTAATCCTAAATTTGTAGATTTGTCATGATATAACTGCCTAATCTATAAGATCTTACGTGGAAGTCACACCATCGACTACACCAACTCACTGTATCGTATCAATTACCAATACATGATGTAGAACAAGGTTAGGCTAGAGAAAGAACAATATATTTAATATGAATAGAAGATATAAAGTAACATTGAGATGGACCACGCCTGCATGGCCGAGCCATGCCATCGATCAACTCCAGTCCATTCAATTCATTGTTCGCGCCTTCTCCATTGTTAGGTATTTCTCCGTGTTAAATATTGAATATCTATTTTCTGAGTAGTCTCGTGTTCACAGCTTTGTGGATTGTGTGGCTATTGTCCAATGCCACTACACTACTCTCCCACCAGAATCAACGTGATGTTGGTTCGATACCGAATTGGATGGGATCGTCGCGCGCCGGAGGTTACCAAGGATAATAAGAGTCCTCCGGGTATTGGTAAGCTGAAAGATAAATCAAAAAGAAGCGGCAGCATCTGGTCGGGAAATACATGTAATAATTTTAAAAATCTGCCTTCATGCTTAACATGCTTGAAATGAAAATTTGGGTGAAGATTATTTGAGCTATAAAAAATGGGGTTACAATAATAATAATAATAAAACGATGCGTGTTAATAGCCGTTGGTTAATAACTTAACGTATAGGTAGTAAGTATTTTGTGTTTAGAAATATTAAAGTAATGAATATTGTAGAAATGTTAATATTGGTATTAGTTTTGGTTTAAATTATGAAATCAAATAACGATTATGCCGGTAAGTTGTCCATATAAGTTGAATTCCAATTGCATCTGTATTAGTAGGCTAACTGAAGGAACAAAAGTATACCGTGGAGAAGAATTCCAACTAGTGTTCCTGTTAGTTTGATACGGTTTATTTAGTTACGGGGAGATTTACTCAACCTCATTTTTACTTGACCGTGATAGAATTTAGTAATACTACTAATACACATGAATGGTTATCAAAACAAAATTTAAATACATGGGTGATAATTCTATGAATTTTGGACAGATAGCTAGGAACAAATCGTTAAACATGAGTGTATTCGTAAGAGACATGCTCTAGACTCAATGTTCTGATCTGCGGCAGACTATTTATTTATATTTATACTTGCGGCTGATTGGGCATACAAGTTAGTTGCAAGTATGCAGTTTATCATAAGGCGGAATACGATTTAATTGAGATATAGTGGTTATAAGTTATTAAAATCAGTTAGGCCTGTGTCATATTACGAAGTGATGTGGTGCTGCAAGATGTATTTAGCTAAATAAGTTTTTACAAGATGATTAATAGTGAGTGATGCTCATGTGATTATCAGAGAGAACATAAGTTGTAACCAGGGGAGTACACTCCCAACTCATGTCTATGATAATGGCTTGAACCTTAGTCAGTGTTGGGGTAAATTCGACATTGATGTTTTCAGTTTGCAGGAGATTTGCTCGACTGCTTATACTGATTATTTGCATGCATGATTGTGTCGCTAAACCATCAATTAGACTGACAAGGTTTTGAGATATTTACTGAATGAGCAACTGATAGAGAAACCTACTGTAATCATCTGTAGTGAATGAAGATAAAGAAAAACAACACTAGTGATAATGATAAGTCAATTTGTTGA